TATAGCCCTCCAGCTACTCAAAAGTAGCTGCTCGAGTAGCTCGAGCAGATTATCTGCTTATCTACTCGAGTAGCTAAGCACGCTCATCTGCTCGAGTAGATAATCTGCTCATCTGCTGAGTAGCTAAGCACGCTCATCTGCTCGAGCAGATTATCTGCTTGCCTGCTCGAGCAGTCTACTCGAAATCTGCTCACTTGTTTTTGAAGATGAATTTGAAATTTTTTTTAATGACTGAAAAGTTGTAAGTGAAGTAGGAGAAGCTTGAATTTCAGCTTCTGGTGTCATTTTAGGCAGAAGCTGACTTTTAAAGGAAGTATGCATGAAAAAATCGATTTTTATGAAATTTGATATTTAAGGGTATTTCGATATGGGGAACATCGTGGTGAGACCCATTCGGCCCAAAAATCACTTTTAAAGGACCCCATCACTCAAAAAATTTTTTTGAAAATGAGGTATTTGGGCACGGGGAACATTTTGGTGAGGTATACGGTCGGGAACAGACTTTTAAAGGCGCATGCCAGGTTATTGCACATTTTCCGAGATATTTTTTTCAAACTATCATAACTTTTTTATTTTGGAAGCTTTTTTGAAAATTCGACAACCATTTTGACGGTCTTGAAGCGGGCTACATTTTTTGTGTTGACACCAACTACCGTACTTCGCTCCTAAGAGGTGAAAAACACGGTTTTGTTCGAATTTACATAAAAAAATGACATTTTTGAGAGATCTGAGAGATAAAACCGTGTTTTTCATCCCTTAGGAGCGAAGTACGGTAGTTGGTGTCAACACAAAAAATGTAGCCCGCTTCAAGACCGTCAGAATGGTTGTCGAATTTTCAAAAAAGCTTCCAAAATAAAAAAGTTATGATAGTTTGAAAAAAATATCTCGGAAAATGTGCAATAACCTGGCATGCGCCTTTAAAAGTCTGTTCCCGACCGTATACCTCACCAAAATGTTCCCCGTGCCCAAATACCTCATTTTCAAAAAAAAAATTTTTTTGAGTGATGGGGTCCTTTAAAAGTGATTTTTGGGCCGAATGGGTCTCACCACGATGTTCCCCATATCGAAATACCCTTAAATATCAAATTTCATAAAAATCGATTTTTCATGCATACTTCCTTTAAAAGTCAGCTTCTGCCTAAAATGACACCAGAAGCTGAAATTCAAGCTTCTCCTACTTCACTTACAACTTTTCAGTCATTAAAAAAATTTCAAATTCATCTTCAAAAAACAAGTGAGCAGATTTCGAGTAGACTGCTCGAGCAGGCAAGCAGATAATCTGCTCGAGCAGATGAGCGTGCTTAGCTACTCAGCAGATGAGCAGATTATCTACTCGAGCAGATGAGCGTGCTTAGCTACTCGAGTAGATAAGCAGATAATCTGCTCGAGCTACTCGAGCAGCTACTTTTGAGTAGCTGGAGGGCTATAGTATCTTCAAATTTTAATATCAGAAATCCACGTGTTTTTCTCAAATTTTTGATATATTTTTTCATCTGAAAACGTGACTCAAAAATATTGATTTTTTTCAAAAAAAAAATATTTGAAAAATTCATATTTTTCATGATTTTTCTAGTTCTCGCAAATTATTTTATTTTTTTCCAATGTGAATTTCAATTTTTGTGAGTTTTATGAGATTCAAAAAAAAACATGACCCCACATTTATTGTCGGGCGCGCGCCAATTTTTGTGGTTGCCTTCTCCAAAGTTTTTCGCCCCCCCCCCCAGTGACTCACATCGATTATCGATCGATGTTTGTGGCGTCCTGGCGCCACACACACATCTGGTCACTCACATAGTTTTCTCTCTTTGTCCAGGGTGACCACATTTTTTTTTTGGTTGTTGAAAGGTCGTGCACGCTGTTTTTTTGGCGTTTGGCCCCAAAACTAGCAGAAAATTTACCTCTGGATCAAAATTTTGCGCTGAAAACGCTGGAATTGCTGAAAATCATGAAAAATTGAGAATTTCAGCGTTTTCAGCGCGAAAAATTGATGTAGAATGAGAATTTTGGGTTCTGGGGAACTGAATAAACTTGAGGATTTATTAACTTTCGGATCTTTTAGAAAATCAACTTCTAGATCAAAATTCTGCGCTGAATACGCTGGAATTGCTGAAAATCATAAAAAATTGAGAATTTCAGCGTTTTCAGCGCGAAAAATTGATCTGAATCATCCTGATTAAAAAAAAATGTTCCAACTCATCCGTTTTCCCTCTGAAAAATGTGTCTTTTTTTCTTTTTCACACAAATCTTTCTCTCTCTATTTTTTCGCCATTTATTTTTATTTTTATTTATTTTTTCATCTTCTCTTCTTCTCGCCCCATTTTTTCTTACACTTTCTTCTGTTTTTAGTTTCGGCCATCAAAAAAATGATGAGAAAAAGATGAAGATTTTTTATTTGGTTTTAGTTTTTGCGCTGGACGTGCTGAGAATCACGATTTTTAGGGATTTTCAGCACTTCTAGCGTTTTCAGCACGAAATTTTGATCTAGAAATTTATTTTCTAGTTGATCTGGATCCTGAAGTCTTCCCAGTTTCCCAGACATCTAGAAACCAATTTTCTAAATCAATTTTCAGCGCTGAAAACTCTGAAACTATCAGTTTTTGTTGATTTTCAGCATTTCCAGCGTTTTCAGCGCAAAATTTTGATCTAGAAATTTATTTTCTAGTCAATCTGGATCCTGAAGTCTCCCCAGTTCCCAAGACATCTAGAAACCAATTTTCTAGATCAATTTTCAGCGCTGAAAACCCTGAAACTATCAGTTTTTGTTGATTTTCAGCATTTCCAGCGTTTTCAGCACGAAATTTCGGGCTTTTTTCCAATTTTTTGCCGTCAAAAACTCTTCCCATCACATAAAATTTAACGATTTCGTCATAATTTTTCCCCAAAAAACAAAAAACTGCGAGCTCCGCCCATTTCATGAGTCATTTTTTCATTTTAAACGATAAAAAATGACCCCGCCCCATTTATTTTCATTCTGAGATTTTCTAAATTTCCAATATGAAATATACTTTTGTTTTTGTAGAAAAAAGTACACACTTCCCCTCCCCCAAGGTCATTTTTCCACTCAACTGGATTTTCAAAAAAAAAACGTCTCTTTCTCTCTCAAAGCTGCTGTTTCAACACAACAACAGCAAAAAATAATAAAAATGAAAGAGTAGTTGCAATTTTGTTGCGAGGCAGAGACGAAATGTATCTTTTTCTTCTTCTCTCAGGTTTTTTCGTTGGTTGTAAACATTATTCTTTGCTTGCGTATAGTTGCCAAACAACAGTTGTTGTTTTTTTTTGTTTTCTCTCATTTTATTGCCGCGTTTTTTCGCGTTTTATATCGAAAAATGGCTTGTTTTTGAAAAACTTCAAAAAAAAAATAAATAAAAAAAATAAAAACACGTGGCCTAGTTTAGCAAACGCGCTCCGCTGCGAACACGGCCACATGTGTTTTTGAATTTTCATTTTTTTTTCGCGCGCGGACAAAAATGGTTTTGCTTGAAACTGAGGTGTAACTTGGGTTTTTTGAGGATTTTAGTTGACAGAAAGTTGGAGAGCGGGTTGAATTTGCTAGGGAAGTTCTGATTTTTGTTGAAATTCTGATTTCCTTGAGAATATTAGGTGTTTTTCTGAAAATATCGTTTTTTGCTGAAAATTGGGAAAACTTTATGTTTTTTCGAGGATTTTTAGTGACAGGAACTTGGAGAGCGGGTTGAATTTGCTAGGATAACTTGGATTTTCGTTGGAATCTAGTTTTACGCAAAGAAATAGGGTTTTTCTTCTGAATTTCCAATTTTGCCACAAATATTTTTAATTAAACTTGAAATTGAACAAAAACACATTATTTCTTCTTTCCATTATTTGCCCACAGAAGTTTGTGTAATTTTTTTGTTGTTATATTTTCGGAACACCCCTTTTTTCCATCCTTATCAACCGTTTTTGCCCATTTTTATTATCATAACTTACTGAAATTTTTCGCTATTATACCTATTATTTTCATTATTATCTACTATAACTATATGTTGCAGAGCGAATGGGTACGGACAGAGATCCCGGAGACCTGCAAGATCAAACGATCAATAGTGGCGGCGCGGGTTCGCGCCCAATGTCGCCACGAGACCCGAAATTACAGGCGGCTCGTGTCAGATTGCCTGACGGACAATTCAGAGAGTTTGAATTGAATGTGAGTGTGGTTTTAGAGACAGTGATTCACGAAAAAAACGTTTTTTAACGTTAAAAAACCAAAAAAGTGATTCACAAACGGTATTTTTATTCATTTTTTCACCATTTTCTCAACACATTGAATAAAGTGAAGCTAAAACGCATTTTAGTGTCCAGAAATGCTATTTCAAGACCTTCTAATCAGTCTGAAATCGAGATTTTGAATGAAATATATATTTTCTAGTAGTTTCCGAACCGCTGATCACGATTCCGCTGTCCAAAATTGCAGAACTCTATTCCTAACATGAGTTATGACGTGGCAAAATTGGAAAATTTTGAAAAATTGGGAATTTGGAGGGTCCGAACTCGCCTTCAAAATTATTTTTATGAAAATATGATAGCATAGGGTTTTTCAGGAAGGTTTATGTAATCGAGCCTCCTGAATAACGCTATGCCATCAGATTTTCATGAAAATAATTTTGAATACGATTTTCTTCCCAATTTTTCAAAATTTTCCAACTTTGCCACGTCATAACTCATGTTAGGAGTTGAGTTTTGCAGTTTTAGACAGAGGGATCGTGATCAGCGGGTCGAAAACTACTAGAAAAATATATTTCATTAGAAATCTTGAAACAGTTCCCTTGTAAAAGACAAATCAAGCCTACTTTTCATTTTTCGAAGATGTGAGGCTTGATTTGTCTTTTTAGGCTGATTAGAAGGTCTTTAATTAGCATTTCTGAACACTAAAATGCGTTTTAGCTTCAGTTTATTCAATGTGTTGAGAAAATGGTGAAAAAATGAATAAAAATACCGTTCGTGAATCACTTTTTTGGTTTTTTAACGTTAAAAAATGAGCTATGACGTGGCAAAGATTGGTTACTTTACAAGACTATAGTCAGAAAGTTTTGCCACGTCATAACTCATATTCAACCTGTTTTTGACAACAGGATTGTGATCAGCAAATGAAGGAAATTTACTAGAAAATGAAAAAATCAATAATATTTTTTGCAGAGAGGATCAGATGGTGAAATTCTGTTCCGTCAAGTGACTGCCGATCTGTCCATCGAAGAACGCGAATATTTCTCGCTGTGTTTTTACGACAAAACCGAAGGCGCTCGTCATTGGCTCTACAATGACAAACGAATCCTTCGCCAATTGAAAGGTCTGCCATGGGAATTCTCGTTTGAGGTGAGATTTTTTTGTGAAGGCTGGAAAAATCCACGTTTTTTGACATCAAATAAGCCTAGGCTCATTTGATATCAGAAAACGTGGATTTTTGCCACGTGGCCGAATTTTTGCATCGAAATTCCACGGTTTTTGAGACTACATAAGCCTAGGCTCATTTGATATCAGAAAACGTGGATTTTTGCCAGGTGGACGAATTTCTGCAACGAAATTCCACGTTTTTTGAGACTACACAAGCCTAGGCCTAAAATTTGGGCTAAGCCTAAGTCTAGGCTTGTTTGGTGTCAGAAAACGTGGATTTTTGCCACGTGGCCGAATTTTTGCATCGAAATTCCACGGTTTTTGAGACTACATAAGCCTAGGCTCATTTGATATCAGAAAACGTGGATTTTTCGCCACGTGGCGGGGATTTCTGCACCGAAATTCCATGTTTTTTGAGACTACACAAGCCTAGGCCTAAAATTTGGGCCAAGCCTAAGTAAAGGCTTGTTAGGTGTCAGAAAACGTGGATTTTTCGCCACGTGACCGAATTTTTGCACCGAAATTCCACGTTTTTTGAGACTACATAAGCCTATGCCTGAAATTTGGGCCAAGCCTAAGCACAGGCTTATTTGGTGTCGGAAAACGTGGATTTTTCGCCAACTTTTGTCAAAAAATGTTACAAATTCATATGAAAATTCTGAATTTACCCCGATTTTGTTGCAGGTCAAATTCTATCCAACAACTCCCTCAACATTAGTCGACGATCACGCTCGCTACTATCTTTTCCTTCAACTTCGTCGCGATATTCTAACTGGCCGACTTCCGGCCACAACAGCCACACACGCCCTTTTGGGCTCATTTGTCGCGCAAATCGAATACGGTGATGCGCCCGCACAAATTACGGCAAATTATGAAAAGTTTATTGTCGAATCGAGATTGGTGCCCGAAAATGAGGCGAATCCGGAGGTTTATAAACAAATTGCCGAATTGCATCGTGAATTGAGGTATGGGGTTGGAAATTTCAAAAAAATCTGGAAAATTTTAAAGTTTGCCAATATTTTGTAATAAAAAACATGATTTTCCTATGCAGAAAAACGTCGAAAAAACAAAAAAATTATTTTTGAGTAGAGACAATGTGAAATTGAGAGAGTGCAGACAGTTTTTTGTATTTTTTGTGCGAAAAATACAAAAAATTAATTTTTTTTACAGAAAAATTGATTTTTCGCACAAACAATACAAAAAATTGGTTTTTTTAAAAGAAAAATTGATTTTTCGCACAAAAAATACAAAAAAGTTAATTTTTTTAAACAGAAAAATTGATTTTTCGCACAAAAAATACAAAAAATTAATTTTTCTGTCTGCACTCTCTCAATTTCACATTGTCTCTACTCAAAAACAATAGACGTTTTTCTGCATGGGAAATATATGTTTTTTTATTACAAAATATTATTCTGCATAGGCCCATTAGAGATAACGGAAAATTGAGAGAGCGCAGACAAATTTTTCAAAAAAAAAAAGAACGAATTGTGATCTTCTAGTGAGGGACTAGTTTTCCAGGTTTCCATGGGAAACTAGTCCCCGACCTGATTCACCTGAAAAATGTATCATCATGTAAAGCGGGGACTGACTTTTGCACGTTGCGAAAACTAGTCCTAGAGGGGGACTAGTTTTCCATCTTGTGTGAAAACTAGTCCCTGCATCTACTTTCTCACAATTCGTTTTTTTTTGTTTTAGAAACTTGTCTGCGCTCTCTCTCAATTTTCAGTTAAAATATTGATTTCTCTAAAATTTGAAATTCTGAAGTTTTCGTTCAGAAACCGGCCCAAATCTGAAATCTTTCCAGTTTTTCCTACACCCAAATCTTTTTTCGCAAACAGAAAATTGAGGTAATTTCATGCGCGCTTTGAAGCGCAACTAATTTGTTAAGAAACTGGTTCTTTATTGTTTTTTTCCGGTTAAAAACACATATTTTTGGGGGTTTTCTCCTGGAGAAAACCCCATTTAGAGGGATTTTCTCCAGACGAAGAAGCCTGTATGAAAAAATGTCTCAAATTCAAAATTTTCAGAGCTCAAACCACATCGGAAGCTGAAAATCTCTATCTCGATCATTGTCGTCAATTGGCTCTCTATGGAATTCATCTGTTCCCGGCCAAAGACAAAGATTCGAATGCGATTCAAATTGGAGTTGGTGCCGAAGGTATCAACATCTACAAAGGCGATGAACCGGTTCATAAATTCGGATGGGCGAGTATTGTGAAGATCAGCTACAAGAGGAATACGTTTAGTGTTCGATTGAAGGCTGGTGAATTGGAGAAGAAAGAAACGAGTGTTAATTATAAGTTGGTTGATTATGCGCATGCGAAAAGAACTTGGAAATGTGCGGTTGAACATCACACTTTCTTCAGGTATGATTTTGCGGGTTTGGGAATTTTTGATACTAAATTTGAGCCTCAATTTTTCTAGATTGATCCAACCGGATGAGCCACAAAAGCACTCGTCATCCTTCTTGAATTTCGGCTCCAGCCGCTTCCGCTACCACGGTCGAACTCAATTCCAAACCAAAATGGCCAGTCAGATGTTTGACAAACCGTCGATTGTTGAAAGATCGCCATCGGCCATGTCGCAACCGATTGAATGTGAGTTTTTTTTTGGGAAAATCGTCTAGAAATCGAATTTTCTGAGTTTCTATGCAGAGAAAGTGGATTTTGCGCATTTCAGAAATTAAATTTAAAAAAAAACAATTTTTTTTGCTGATTTTTACCATAATTATCAAAACAAATATTCAAATCCAAAAAAAAATAATAAAAAAATTTTTTTAACAAAAAATTTCGGTTCAGCAAATGTCAAAAAACTATATTTTTTTTTCCTATTTTTTGACATTTTTTTCATTTTTGTGTGGAAAAAAATATAGGTTTTTGACCTTTGCTGAGAATTTTGGGCAAAAAACCGTGATTTTTTTCGAAATTCCGAAATCTTGAAATTCCAAAATTTTGCGTTGATTTATTATCTCACGAAAAAAATACCAGGGAATTTTAGGTTTCGAAATTATTCTATGAAAAAAATATAGTTTTTTGACATTTTCTGAATCGAAATTTTTTGTCAAAAAATGTTTTTTATTTTTTTTTTTGACTTGAATCACCCCATTATCTATTTTTGAATTAAGAAATTTTTTCGAAACTTGCAAACACACTTTTTTCCTAAAAAATTGAACAAAATTAGTTTAAAAATGGGCGTGGCTTGGTTTTGCAAGCCTGGCACGTTTTTTTCCAGAAAATTCTAAAATTTTGCAATTTTTCCCCTTTTTTCTTTTAAAAAATGTATTTTTCGAATTTTTAATTCAACCATACTGAAGGAAATTGAAAGAAGAATTGATAATAAATTATATCAAAATTTTGAAACGTATTTTTTTGTTTTTGAAAAATTTGAATTTTTGAATCAAAATTTGACTCGAAAGCGCTAAAAATAATAAAAAAAAACATTTTTTTGACAAAAAATTTCGATTCAGAAAATGTCAAAAAATGTATTTTTTTAATTATTTTTTTTCGACTTGAAAAATGTTTCCCAAAAATGTGTGTTTTCCAGCTGGTCGCCAAGTCCTTTCTCCACTTCACTACACGGACAACGAACTCGAAGCCAAAAATTATGAGGTGTGTTTTTTTTTGCACGGTTGTTTTTTTTTTTTGCTTGGGAATGCTAACTTCACTGCATGCTTGAAAAGTTCACGCTTATTAGAACTTTTAACAAACGAAAAACGCATGTTTTTTTTCAAAAACATATGTGTCAAAAACGCTTTGGGAAATCGTCGTGATTTGGGGGATTTTTTTTTTGAGTTTGCTCACCGAGCAAGCTTTCGTCATTTTTCGTGTTTCATTTTTGGACTATGTCTTTTCCTCAAGCCCCTATATTAAAATTTTTTTATTCATAACATGTCCTACCGGCACGTGATACCGTTAATTTTCATTCATTCAGATTTTTTCAGAAGGAAAGTTTTTTGTAGGATTTTTTCGCTTTGATTATATTTCTCTAGAGCCCCCCAATTTTTTTCTGTAAGGGTTAGGAAATGTGGGATGCGGTGAACCAAGATTAAATATTAAAAAAAATTATCATTACGAGAAAAAATATCACTCCGAATCACGGCGCGTAACAAAATTTTTTTTTGGTTTTTAGTAAATGTGGTGTGCTTTGTGTTTTTTTCTATAGATAGATAATCTATATATTGAAATTGGTAGTATCGCATCCTTACACCTAACCCCCACGATTTTTTTGTTGTAAATACAATTTAGAACCCAGGGGAAATGTGTGATTTTGATTTGTGTAGTCGTTTTATTTTATGTTGATTGTAGTGCTTTTCTCTATATTTTCGGAATCTCTATCCTCTATTTCACTCGTACTTACCCTAACTCTTACCCCCCAACGCTCTCCCCCTTGTCAATATCCTGATTGCAGAGATATCGACGTACGATCACACCAAAATCTTTCACCCGCGATCACAATGATGATGCGATGTCCACGTCGACTTTTGATAAGTATGCCTCGTTGCGTCCGACATCGCTTCTTGTCACCACAACACCGTACGATCATCAGTATCAACGGGATTCGCAAAATCTTGATGATAGTTTGTCGTACTCGCCAAGAGGTCTTGAATCACCGCAATCTAGCGGAGCCGCCTACTACATGTCGGAAAGATCGTCGTTGCGAACACCGTCGTCGGCGTATTATCCGCAAGCTGATTCGGCGATGCAAAGTCCCACTGATTCGCATTATTATGAGGGACCACATCGTGGAGAATACAATGTTCAATTGAGATCAAGAGGTGGTGCGAGACGGAATTTGTTCGGAAGATCGTCGGGAACTTCGCAAGATACTGTGCGACTTGTCTCGATTCATGAACCGGTTGATCCGACAGCGCCAATGAGACAAACCTATCCAGGAAATGAGCTACCGGAGATTCCAATCGAACGAATTGTTCATGTTTATCACGAAGGACATTATGATCGATTGAGTCCGAGTAGAGAACGTGGACGTGCTGATCTTCCATATGGATTTGGAGTTTACACTCCAAGAAATGGTGTGACTCATGTTGATCGTCTTGAACCGAATAACGAGATGGATCAACAACCAATTCGATTCTTTGTTGATGTTCGTCATTCTGGTTCGAGTCGAAGAGATCAGGCGAAACGTATCAGTCATCCTGGAAAAGAAGATGTGCGTGATGTTGTTAATCCAGCCGATTATAATTTCTCCACAACTCCTTATGATGCTTCGGATCTTCGCACGGAATTGTCTCGCGATGTTCCTGCTGCAAACATTCAGCAGTTCACCAGAATTTACCATACTGGACATTCTGATGAGCCGTCGACATCAAAAGCTCCGCCATATCGATTGATCACTACGGTTTTGTCAACATCTTCGAGTAGAGATGGAAGAGATCGTAACGCATCGTCGAATGTCAATGCGGTGATCTCGCAAAAAGAGCAGACTGTGTCGACCAAGGTTCGAAGAGAGTCGCCGGATCAAGATCGACGAATCAGATTGTCGGCGAGTGTCGATAGAAGTGGCAATCTTACTGATACCACTGACAACGAGGGTGCTTCATCTTCGTCGCCAGCGAAAAAGATCAAGAAGATTCCACCGTCGTCAAAAGTTCAGGAGACTCGTGAGCCGGCGAAACAACGCGAAAGAATGTTTGGGTTCTTTGGAAAGAAAAAGACCAACGATTATCCTGAACAAACCAAATATTCTGGCCCGCTTGATTCTACTGAACGAGACCAAGATCTTCAAACTTTACCGGTTGATAGGCAACATCAAGTCCCATCATATTCTCCAAAGAAATTCACGTCATCTGAATATGTTGTTCGAACATCGAGAACTTATCATTATGTTTCTCGAATCAGACATGATGAAGATGAAGATGAAGTTGATAAATCAAATATTCGACCAGAATCTTATGGTTTTGCATCAACAACTTATGATGGACCTTTGGAAGATATTTCAAGAGAAAATGAACTTGAACAATCACCAATTGGAGAATATTCAAATATTTATCATCATGGAAAATCATGGATAAGAGATGAACCTGTAAAACCAGTAATTGTAAAAGAAAAGAAGGTCAAATCACCAAAGAAGGAAAAAGTTGTTGTTGCTCCAGAACCTGAAGAACCTGAAACAAGACAAGTTCGATTGATTGCTCGATTAAGACCAGAAGAATCAGAAGAATTTGAACAAGTTGTATCGAAGAAAACACCAAAATCAAAAGATACAACAACTTCATCGAAATTCGGATTCTTCAAGGGCGGAAAATCTACCAGAACAACAACGACCACTTCTGAAAGTTACACTGGCCCTCTCGATTCAACTGATCGTGACAATGAACATGAACACATCCCACTTGAACACCAAGAACATCCATCTTATTCGCCGAAAACTGTTGTGACTACAACACATGTCACTTCAACATACCCAACAACTTCCAATGAATACTCCGGTCCTCTTGATTATACCAATCGATATCTTGAACTCGAAAACATCCCACTCGATCACAAATACGAAATCCCACAATATTCTCCAAAAATTGTTGGAATCACTGGTGATAAAAAATCGAAAGTGAAGAAGGTCAAATCAGTGAAGAAAGACAAGCCAGTTATTGCTGGTTCTTCAGATGAGCCAGAGACGAAAGAAGTTCGATTGTTTGCTAGATTGAGACCAGAAGAGCAAGAAGATACTGAAGTTCGCAATTTGGAGAAATCAACTAAATCCAAAGATACTTCTTCTTCGTCATTTGTCAAAACTGGAAAATCAACAAAAATTGTCACTTCCACTTATCCTTCAACATCAGACGAATATTCGGGCCCTCTTGATTTGACCAATCGAAAACATGATCTCGAAAATCTTCCACTTGATAGACAATACGAAATACCAGCATATTCTCCAAAAGTTATTGGAATATTGGACGAGAAATCATCGAGAATAAAACCATCCAAATCGGCTAAGAAGGATAAGAAACGTATTGCTGATGATAGCGAAGAATCCGAAACAAGACAAGTTCGACTCATTGCTAGATTGAAACCGGAAAATGAGAATGATACTGTTGTACTGGAAGCCAAACCAAGAGACACTTCAAAAATCGGATTCTTCAAGACTGGGAAGACCTCGAAAACTGTTACATCCACATATCAAACATCTTCGGAAGAATATTCAGGACCTCTCGATTCAACTTATCGTCATCAAGATCTTGAGAATATTCCATTTGAACATCCTGATTATCCAGAATATTCTTCCAAGAAAATCGAAACATCTGAACATGTTATTGAAAGAGAACAACCAAAGAAATATCGATTGATTGCTCGATTCAGACATGATGGAGATGAAGATGAAATTGATAAATCAAATATTCGACCAGAATATTATGGTTTTGCATCAACAACTTATGATGGACCTTTGGAAGATATTTCAAGAGAAAATGAACTTGAACAATCACCAATTGGAGAATATTCAAATATTTATCATCATGGAAAATCATGGATTAGAGATGAACCTGTAAAACCAGTGATTATCAAAGAAAAGAAGGTGAAATCACCAAAGAAAGAAAAAGTTGTTGTTGCTCCAGAACCTGAAGAACCTGAAACTAGACAAGTTCGATTGATTGCTCGATTAAGACCAGAAGAATCAGAAGAATCTGAACAAGTTGTATCGAAGAAAACACCAAAATCAAAAGATACAACAACATCTTCATCAAAATTCGGATTTTTCAAAAAGGAAAAATCAACAACTCCAATTCCAACTTATTCTGAATCAACTGAACAATATTCTGGACCACTTGATTCAACCAACAGACATCAAGATTTGGAGAATATTCCATTTGAACATCCAGAATATCCAGAATATTCACCAAAAATTGTTGAAACTGATGAAGATTCAGCTGGAACAAAGATCAAGAAGATCAAATCACCAAAGAAGGAAAAAGTTGTTGTTGCTCCAGAACCTGAAGAACCTGAAACTAGACAAATTCGATTGATTGCTCGATTAAGACCAGAAGAATCAGAAGAATCTGAACAAGTTGTATCGAAGAAAACACCAAAATCAAAAGATACAACAACATCTTCATCGAAATTCGGATTCTTTAAAAAGGAAAAATCAACAACTCCAATTCCATTGTATTCTGAATCAACTGAACAATATTCTGGACCACTTGATTCGACTAACAGACATCAAGATTTGGAAAATATTCCATTTGAACATCCTGAATATCCAGAATATTCACCAAAAATTGTTGAAACTGATGAAGATTCAGCTGGAACAAAGATCAAGAAGATCAAATCACCAAAGAAGGAAAAAGTTGTTGTTGCTCCAGAACCTGAAGAACCTGAAACTAGACAAATTCGATTGATTGCTCGATTAAGACCAGAAGAATCAGAAGAATCTGAACAAGTTGTATCGAAGAAAACACCAAAATCAAAAGATACAACAACATCTTCATCGAAATTCGGATTCTTCAAAAAGGATAAATCAACAACTCCAATTCCATCGTATTTTGAATCAACTGAACAATATTCTGGACCACTTGATTCGACTAACAGACATCAAGATTTGGAAAATATTCCATTTGAACATCCAGAATATCCAGAATATTCACCAAAAATTGTTGAAACTGATGAAGATTCAGCTGGTACAAAGATCAAGAAGGTCAAATCACCAAAGAAGGAAAAAGTTGTTGTTACTCCAGAACCGGAAGAACCTGAAACAAGACAAGTTCGATTGATTGCTCGATTAAGACCAGAAGAATCAGAAGAATCTGAACAAGTTGTATCGAAGAAAACACCAAAATCAAAAGATACAACAACATCTTCATCGAAATTCGGATTCTTCAAAAAGGATAAATCAACAACTCCAATTCCATCGTATTTTGAATCAACTGAACAATATTCTGGACCACTTGATTCGACTAACAGACATCAAGATTTGGAAAATATTCCATTTGAACATCCAGAATATCCAGAATATTCACCAAAAATTGTTGATGTTTCTACTGATGAAGATTCAGCTGGTACAAAGATCAAGAAGATCAAATCACCAAAGAAGGAAAAAGTTGTTGTTGCTCCAGAACCTGAAGAACCTGAAACTAGACAAGTTCGATTGATTGCTCGATTGAGACCAGAAGAACCAGAAGAATCTGAACAAGTTGTATCAAAGAAAACACCAAAATCAAAAGATACAACAACATCTTCATCAAAATTCGGATTCTTCAAAAAGGAAAAATCAACAACTCCAATTCCATCGTATTCTGAATCGACTGAACAATATTCTGGACCACTTGATTCGACCAAAAGACATCAAGATTTGGAAAATATTCCATTTGAACATCCAGAATATCCAGAATATTCACCAAAAATTGTTGATGTTTCTACTGATGAAGATTCAGCTGGTACAAAGATCAAGAAGATCAAATCACCAAAGAAGGAAAAAGTTGTTGTTGCTCCAGAACCTGAAGAACCTGAAACTAGACAAGTTCGATTGATTGCTCGATTAAAACCAGAAGAACCAGAAGAATTTGAACAAGTTGTATCGAAGAAAACACCAAAATCAAAAGATACAACAACAACTTCATCGAAATTCGGATTCTTCAAAAAGGAAAAATCAACAACTCCAATTCCAACTTATTCTGAATCAACTGAACAATATTCTGGACCACTTGATTCGACTAACAGACATCAAGATTTGGAAAATATTCCATTTGAACATCCAGAATATCCAGAATATTCACCAAAAATTGTTGAAACTGATGAAGATTCAGCTGGTACAAAGATCAAGAAGGTTAAATCACCAAAGAAAGAGAAACTTTTGGCTGAAGTTCAACCAGAAGAACCTGAAACTAGACAAGTTCGATTGATTGCTCGATTGAAACCAGAAGAATCAGAAGAATCTGAACAAGTTGTATCGAAGAAAACACCAAAATCAAAAGATACAACAACAACTTCATCGAAATTCGGATTCTTCAAAAAGGAAAAATCAACAACTCCAATTCCATCGTATTCTGAATCGACTGAACAATATTCTGGACCACTTGATTCGACTAACAGACATCAAGATTTGGAAAATATTCCATTTGAACATCCAGAATATCCAGAATATTCACCAAAAATTGTTGAAACTGATGAAGATTCAGCTGGTACAAAGATCAAGAAGGTTAAATCACCAAAGAAAGAGAAACTTTTGGCTGAAGTTCAACCAGAAGAACCTGAAACTAGACAAGTTCGATTGATTGCTCGATTGAAACCAGAAGAATCAGAAGAATCTGAACAAGTTGTATCGAAGAAAACACCAAAATCAAAAGATACAACAACATCTTCATCAAAATTCGGATTTTTCAAAAAGGAAAAATCAACAACTCCAATTCCAACTTATTCTGAATCAACTGAACAATATTCTGGACCACTTGATTCAACCAACAGACATCAAGATTTGGAAAATATTCCATTTGAACATCCAGAATATCCAGAATATTCACCAAAAATTGTTGAAACTGATGATGATTCAGCTGGAACAAAGATCAAGAAGGTTAAATCTCCAAAGAAAGAAAAAGTTGTTGTTGCTCCAGAACCTGAAGAACCTGAAACAAGACAAGTTCGATTGATTGCTCGATTAAGACCAGAAGAATCAGAAGAATCTGAACAAGTTGTATCGAAGAAAACACCAAAATCAAAAGATACAACAACAACTTCATCGAAATTCGGATTCTTCAAAAAAGGAAAAATCAACAACTCCAATTCCAACTTATTCTGAATCAACTGAACAATATTCTGGACCACTTGATTCGACTAACAGACATCAAGATTTGGAAAATATTCCATTTGAACATCCAGAATATCCAGAATATTCACCAAAAATTGTTGAAACTGATGAAGATTCAGCTGGTACAAAGATCAAGAAGGTTAAATCACCAAAGAAAGAGAAACTTTTGGCTGAAGTTCAACCAGAAGAACCTGAAACTAGACAAGTTCGATTGATTGCTCGATTGAAACCAGAAGAATCAGAAGAATCTGAACAAGTTGTATCGAAGAAAACACCAAAATCAAAAGATACAACAACAACTTCATCGAAATTCGGATTCTTCAAAAAGGAAAAATCAACAACTCCAATTCCATCGTATTCTGAATCGACTGAACAATATTCTGGACCACTTGATTCGACTAACAGACATCAAGATTTGGAAAATATTCCATTTGAACATCCAGAATATCCAGAATATTCACCAAAAATTGTTGAAACTGATGAAGATTCAGCTGGTACAAAGATCAAGAAGGTTAAATCACCAAAGAAAGAGAAACTTTTGGCTGAAGTTCAACCAGAAGAACCTGAAACTAGACAAGTTCGATTGATTGCTCGATTGAAACCAGAAGAATCAGAAGAATCTGAACAAGTTGTATCGAAGAAAACACCAAAATCAAAAGATACAACAACATCTTCATCAAAATTCGGATTTTTCAAAAAGGAAAAATCAACAACTCCAATTCCAACTTATTCTGAATCAACTGAACAATATTCTGGACCACTTGATTCAACCAACAGACATCAAGATTTGGAAAATATTCCATTTGAACATCCTGAATATCCAGAATATTCACCAAAAATTGTTGATGTTTCTACTGATGATGATTCAGCTGGTACAAAGATCAAAAAGATCAAATCACCAAAGAAAGAAAAAGTTGTTGTTGCTCCAGAACCTGAAGAACCTGAAACAAGACAAGTTCGATTGATTGCTCGATTAAGACCAGAAGAATCAGAAGAATCTGAACAAGTTGTATCGAAGAAAACACCAAAATCAAAAGATACAACAACAACTTCATCGAAATTCGGATTCTTCAAAAAGGAAAAATCAACAACTCCAATTCCAACTTATTCTGAATCAACTGAACAATATTCTGGACCACTTGATTCGACTAACAGACATCAAGATTTGGAAAATATTCCATTTGAACATCAAGAATATCCAGAATATTCACCAAAAATTGTTGATGTTTCTACTGATGATGATTCAGCTGGTACAAAGATCAAAAAGATCAAATCACCAAAGAAAGAAAAAGTTGTTGTTGCTCCAGAACCTGAAGAACCAGAAACAAGACAAGTTCGATTGATTGCTCGATTGAAACCAGAAGAATCTGAAGAATCTGAACAAGTTGTATCAAAGAAAACACCAAAATCGAAAGATACAACAACATCTTCATCGAAATTCGGATTCTTCAAAAAGGAAAAATCAACAACTCCAATTCCAACTTATTCTGAATCAACTGAACAATATTCAGGACCTCTTGATTCGACTAACAGACATCAAGATTTGGAAAATATTCCATTTGAACATCCTGAATATCCAGAATATTCACCAAAAATTGTTGAAACTGATGAAGATTCAGCTGGAACAAAGATCAAGAAGATCAAATCACCAAAGAAAGAAAAACCTTTGGCTGAAGTTCAACCTGAAGAAGCTGAAACTAGACAAGTGCGATTGATTGCTCGATTAAGACCAGAAGAATCAGAAGAATCTGAACAAGTTGTATCGAAGAAAACACCAAAATCAAAAGATACAACAACATCTTCATCAAAGTTCGGATTCTTCAAAAAGGAAAAATCAACAACTCCAATTCCAACTTATTCTGAATCAACTGAACAATATTCTGGACCACTTGATTCAACCAACAGACATCAAGATTTGGAAAATATTCCATTTGAACATCCAGAATATCCAGAATATTCACCAAAAATTGTTGAAACTGATGATGATTCAGCTGGAACAAAGATCAAGAAGATCAAATCACCAAAGAAAGAAAAACCTTTGGCTGAAGTTCAACCTGAAGAAGCTGAAACTAGACAAGTTCGATTGATTGCTCGATTAAGACCAGAAGAATCAGAAGAATCTGAACAAGTTGTATCGAAGAAAACACCAAAATCAAAAGATACAACAACATCTTCATCAAAGTTCGGATTCTTCAAAAAGGAAAAATCAACAACTCCAATTCCAACTTATTCTGAATCAACTGAACAATATTCTGGACCACTTGATTCAATCAACAGACATCAAGATTTGGAAAATATTCCATTTGAACATCCAGAATATCCAGAATATTCACCAAAAATTGTTGAAACTGATGATGATTCAGCTGGAACAAAGATCAAGAAGATCAAATCACCTAAGAAAGAGAAACCTTTGGCTGAAGTTCAACCTGAAGAACCTGAAACTAGACAAGTTCGATTGATTGCTCGATTAAAACCAGAAGAATCAGAAGAATCTGAACAAGTTGTATCGAAGAAAACACCAAAATCAAAAGATACAACAACATCTTCATCAAAGTTCGGATTCTTCAAAAAGGAAAAATCAACAACTCCAATTCCAACTTATTCTGAATCAACTGAACAATATTCTGGACCACTTGATTCAATCAACAGACATCAAGATTTGGAAAATATTCCATTTGAACATCAAGAATATCCAGAATATTCACCAAAAATTGTTGATGTTTCGACTGATGATGATTCAGCTGGAACAAAGATCAAGAAGATCAAATCACCAAAGAAAGAAAAACCTTTGGCTGAAGTTCAACCTGAAGAAGCTGAAACTAGACAAGTTCGATTGATTGCTCGATTAAAACCAGAAGAATCAGAAGAATCTGAACAAGTTGTATCAAAGAAAACACCAAAATCAAAAGATACAACAACATCTTCATCGAAATTCGGATTCTTCAAAAAGGAAAAATCAACAACTCCAATTCCAACTTATTCCGAATCAACTGAACAATATTCTGGACCACTTGATTCAACCAACAGACATCAAGATTTGGAAAATATTCCATTTGAACATCCAGAATATCCAGAATATTCACCAAAAATTGTTGATGTTTCGACTGATGATGATTCAGCTGGAACAAAGATCAAGAAGATCAAATCACCAAAGAAAGAAAAACCTTTGGCTGAAGTTCAACCTGAAGAAGCTGAAACTAGACAAGTTCGATTGATTGCTCGATTGAAACCAGAAGAATCAGAAGAATCTGAACAAGTTGTATCAAAGAAAACACCAAAATCAAAAGATACAACAACATCTTCATCAAAATTCGGTTTCTTCAAAAAGGAAAAATCAACAACTCCAATTCCAACTTATTCTGAATCAACTGAACAATATTCTGGACCACTTGATTCAACCAACAGACATCAAGATTTGGAAAATATTCCATTTGAACATCCAGAATATCCAGAATATTCACCAAAAATTGTTGAAACTGATGAAGATTCAGCTGGAACAAAGATCAAGAAGGTTAAATCACCAAAGAAGGAAAAACCTTTGGCTGAAGTTCAACCTGAAGAACCTGAAACAAGACAAGTTCGATTGATTGCTCGATTGAAACCTGAAGAACCAGAAGAATCTGAACAAATTGTATCGAAGAAAACACCAAAATCAAAAGATACAACAACATCTTCATCAAAATTCGGATTCTTCAAAGGTGGAAAATCTTCAAAGATTATTACAACTTCTGCTTATCCAACATCTTCTGATGAATATTCTGGACCACTTGATTCGACCAACAGACATCAAGATCTTGAGAATATTCCATTTGAACATCCTGATTATCCTGAATATTCTACAAAGAAAATCGAAACATCTGAACATGTTATTGAAAGAGAACAACCAAAGAAATATCGATTGATTGCTCGATTTAGACATGATGGAGATGAAGATGAAGTTGATAAATCAAATATTCGACCAGAATCTTATGGTTTTGCATCATCAACTTATGATGGACCTTTGGAAGATATTTCAAGAGAAAATGAACTTGAACAATCACCAATTGGAGAATATTCAAATATTTATCATCATGGAAAATCATGGATTAGAGATGAACCTGTAAAACCAGTGATTATCAAAGAAAAGAAGGTGAAATCACCAAAGAAAGAAAAAGTTGTTGTTGCTCCAGAACCTGAAGAACCTGAAACTAGACAAGTTCGATTGATTGCTCGATTAAGACCAGAAGAATCAGAAGAATCTGAACAAGTTGTATCGAAGAAAACACCAAAATCAAAAGATACAACAACATCTTCATCAAAATTCGGATTTTTCAAAAAGGAAAAATCAACAACTCCAATTCCAACTTATTCTGAATCAACTGAACAATATTCTGGACCACTTGATTCAACCAACAGACATCAAGATTTGGAGAATATTCCATTTGAACATCCTGAATATCCAGAATATTCACCAAAAATTGTTGAAACTGATGATGATTCAGCTGGAACAAAGATCAAGAAGGTTAAATCTCCAAAGAAAGAAAAACCTTTGGCTGAAGTTCAACCTGAAGAAGCTGAAACTAGACAAGTTCGATTGATTGCTCGATTGAGACCAGAAGAATCAGAAGAATCTGAACAAGTCGTATCGAAGAAAACACCAAAATCAAAAGATACAACAACATCTTCATCAAAATTCGGATTTTTCAAAAGGAAAAATCAACAACTCCAATTCCAACTTATTCTGAATCAACTGAACAATATTCTGGACCACTTGATTCAACCAACAGACATCAAGATTTGGAAAATATTCCATTTGAACATCCAGAATATCCAGAATATTCACCAAAAATTGTTGAAACTGATGATGATTCAGCTGGAACAAAGATCAAGAAGGTTAAATCTCCAAAGAAAGAAAAACCTTTGGCTGAAGTTCAACCTGAAGAACCTGAAACAAGACAAGTTCGATTGATTGCTCGATTGAGACCAGAAGAATCAGAAGAATCTGAACAAGTCGTATCGAAGAAAACACCAAAATCAAAAGATACAACAACATCTTCATCGAAATTCGGATTCTTCAAAAAGGAAAAATCTTCGAAGAATGTTACAACTTCTGCTTATCCAACAACTTCAGATGAATATTCAGGACCTCTTGATTCAACAAATCGTCATCAAGATCTTGAGAATATTCCATTCGAACATCCTGATTATCCAGAATATTCTACCAAAAGAATCGAAACATCTGAACATGTTATTGAAAGAGAACAACCAAAGAAATATCGATTGATTGCTCGATTTAGACATGATGGAGATGAAGATGAAGTTGATAAATCAAATATTCGACCAGAATATTATGGTTTTGCATCAACAACTTATGATGGACCATTGGAAGATATTTCAAAAGAAAATGAACTTGAACAATCACCAATTGGAGAATATTCAAATATTTATCATCATGGAAAATCATGGATTAGAGATGAACCTGTAAAACCAGTGATTATCAAAGAAAAGAAGGTGAAATCACCAAAGAAAGAAAAAGTTGTTGTTGCTCCAGAACCTGAAGAACCTGAAACTAGACAAGTTCGATTGATTGCTCGATTAAGACCAGAAGAATCAGAAGAATCTGAACAAGTTGTATCGAAGAAAACACCAAAATCAAAAGATACAACAACATCTTCATCAAAATTCGGATTTTTCAAAGGTGGAAAATCTTCAAAGATTGTTACAACTTCTGCTTATCCAACAACTTCAGATGAATATTCAGGACCTCTCGATTCAACTTATCGTCATCAAGATCTTGAGAATATTCCATTTGAACATCCTGATTATCCAGAATATTCTACCAAGAAAATCGAAACATCTGAACATGTTTTTGAAAGAGAACAACCAAAGAAATATCGATTGATTGCTAGATTCAGACATGATGGAGATGAAGATGAAGTTGATAAATCAAATATTCGACCAGAATCTTATGGTTTTGCATCAACAACTTATGATGGACCTTTGGAAGATATTTCAAAAGAAAATGAACTTGAACAATCACCAATTGGAGAATATTCAAATATTTATCATCATGGAAAATCATGGATCAGAGATGAACCTGTAAAACCAGTGATTGTGAAAGAAAAGAAGGTCAAATCTGTCAAACCTGAGGAAATTCCTGATGTTCGTCTAGTTGCTCGAGTTCAACCACGAGTCAAAGAACCATCTACAAAATCCACAAAAGGTCTTTCATTCTGGAAATCGTCTTCCCCACAACCAGCTTATCCATCAACATCGGAAGCCTATCAGGGCAGAATCGATGTGGTGCGACGTAGTGAAGAACTCGAATCGCGCGCCTTCGATCCATCAACATCTCAACAAATCGAACACTCCGCACGCCTCCAAGGCTTCACCGCCTACTCCCGCGCCGGTTTCTCGCAAATCAACTACGAATGTCGAGCCGAAATTCAAATCGAGCCAGTCTACGTGTTGCGCGAAACCGCCTCGACCAGCGGCGTGCGAGTCGTTCACCAAGAGCAAATGGGCGGAGCCTCTACTAGCTCTTGGGAACGCCACGCCTATCTCTCAACTGCCACCGCCATTTTCTCCGGACACTCTGCGCTTTCCGACGAGGAACAGGATATTCTGTTCACCGCCACACCGCCAATGTCACCACCTGAACGTGGATTCTTGGCCAGACTTGGTTTCAAGGTATTTTTTTCGTTGAGCTTCTGCTATTTTTGTACTAAAAGCTTTCGTTCAAATAAGCTCACGAACGAAAAAATGTTTTTTTAACATTGAAAGATCAAAAGTCAAAAAATGTCGAAAAATTAGTTTTTTTTTGAAGTTTTAAAGCCAAAAATGATGACAAATCGATATTTTTCAAGTTTCTGGAGTAATTTCTGATGAAAATAAGCTAGGAGAACCATATTTTGCTTTATTTGTGGATTTTTTCGAAATTCATCATTACGAAAAATCAGCAAAAACTTCTGAAGGTCAATTTTCATCATAAATTACTCCAGAAGCTTGAAAAATATCGATTTGTCATCATTTTTGGCTGAAAAACTCAATGTTTTTTCGACATTTTTTGACTTTTCGTGAATTGATCTTTCGATGTTAAAAAAAAGCTCTATTGAAAAAATGCTTCTCCAAAAAGCCCATAATTTTTTAATGAAAAACTCCATTTTTTTGTCGAGTCCTATGCATGTTCTCTGAAAACTGACATAGTTTTTTTTCTCCAAGCCTAACCCCATGGGAATATACAACAAATGCTTCCATTTTTCTCTCCCCTCAAAAAAGTGTTGTCTTGAAAAGACCAAAAAAAACACGACTAATATACTAGCGCATGAGGGATATGTGTAAAAAACGTTTTTTTTTTCAAAAAGTTTTAAAAAAATCAGATTTTTGTGAGAGTGTGAATGGTTTTCTCTATTTACTCAAAAGAGAGAGATTTTCTTGAGTGCCCCCCTGGAAAATTTGACACAAAAATAGTTTTTGTTTTTGCAGAGAGGCGAGAAGAAGTCGCAAAATGGTAATAACAAGAAGTCGAAGAAGAATGGAAAGAAGGAGAATGATTCGAGCATCGAAACTTCGGATAGCGAGCATGATGAGAAGCGCGAATTTGCAGTTGTTGGATTTCAGCCACAGGTTGGGGATGGGGATTTTTTAGAGGGCTTTGGGGTGGAAATTTGAAATTTTCATTTTTTGAAAAATTGGAAATTCCGGCGCTTCAAAACTCTTTTTGAAATTCAAATTTTGAAATGTTGAAAATCACGAACAAAAAAATTGTTTTTTTAACATCAAAAGATCGGTCAAAATTAGTTTTTCAGCCAAAAATGATGAAAAATCGATTTTTTTCAAGGTTCTGGAGTAATTTCTGATGAAAATTGACCTCGGAATTCACTTTCCAGAAAGTTTTGCTAGTTTTTCGTGATGAATTTCGAAAAAATTCATTTAAAAAAAGCAAAATTTTCTAGACAAAAAATCGAAAATTTTCAGTTTCTGGGTCAATTTTTGCCGAAAAAAAGAATTTTTGAGCTCAAAGTGCAGTTAAAAATTGTTTTTCATTCAATTTTTAAAAATCTGTGCTTCCGTAATTTTTCGGAAAATAAAAAAAATTTCAAATTTTGATGAATTTCGAAAAAAATCATAAAATAAAGCAGAATAGGGTTCTCGAGGCTTATTTTCATCAGAAATTACTCCAGAAAAAAATAATAAAAAATATCGATTTTTCATAATTTTTGGCTGAAAAATTCGAAAAACTAATGTTTTTTCGACATTTTTCGACTTTTCGTGAATTGAAATTTCAATTTTGAAAAAACAATTTTTTCGTTTGTGAATCAGCCCTGAAATTTTGGAATTTTCAATGAAAACTTGAGAAAAATTTGATAAAAATTTTCATTTCTCGTAATAATTTTTTCAAAATTTACAAAAATTGTGAAAATTTGACTCAAATTTATGAAAAAATCTATAAAGTTTTGTGAGAATCTCAAAAATCAGGAATATTTTTTGAACCTGGACTTTACCATGAGATTTTCTGAGTCTCACAGCAAACAAAATTCCAAAAAAAAAAAAAGAAAAATCTTGATAACAGACAAAAAAGTGCATGAACCTCCACCTTTCCCCCCAAGAGAAAAGTTGCACCAAAAAGCACTCTCACCTTTAGAATTTTTGTCGGGAACCCAGTTTTAGTTTGCTGTTGTTTTTAAAGGATCAGCACCATCAGAAGCATGTGATAAATGATAGTAGTAAAAAACCGAGTGCTGTGAGCAAATCTGCTGAATCGCCAAGTCGTCGATCCGATTCGCATCATCTGCGATCAATTGATGAGCCAATGAATGAGGTGACGATATTGGTGACGAGCGGAAAAGATGCGCGGCCGCCGGCGGAATTGGGAGCGACACGTGTCGTCAGGCATGAGACGCGCGAACAACAATTTCGTCTGAGCGGAAATGGGTATTCGTCGGGATTTAATCCCAATGACCCGGTAAAGAAGGGACCTTTTTCTCTTGGTTTTCAACTGGGATTTGGGAGAGTGTTGGAATTTCTGAAAATTTGGTTTGAAAATTGGGAGTTTCTCAAAAATTTGAAAAAAAAATTTCATTTTTTCCATATTTTTTGAAGTTTTTTTCATAAAAACTTGGATTTTTCTCAAAAAAATGTTAAATTTCAAAAAGCAAAAATACTTTTCCCAAAAAATTAAAAAAAAATGTTTTTTTTGCCCAAAGTCTGAAAATGACTGAAAAATTCTCTGAGAAGTTGAGAAATAAAAAAAAATTGAAAACCTTGAATTTCATTCTTTCAGAAAATATTTTTCGGGAAAAAGTTGATTTCAAAAATTGTCTTTCTTCAAAAATCAAACAAAATTCATTCTAAAAATTTGGATTTTTCAAAAAAAAAATAAAAAGCACATTTTTTGACAAAAAATTTGGATTCAGAAAATGTCAAAAAACTATATTTTTTCCTATTTTTTGACATTTTTGTGTGGAAAAAATAGGAAAAATTATAGTTTTTTGTAAAAAAAATGTTTTTTTTTAAATATTTTTCTTCGACAAAATCAGTTCCAAATATTAAATGAAAATCAGTTCCAAATATTGACTAAAAATATTGAAAAATATTTTGAAACGTAAATTTTCCGAGATTTTTTGAAATGAGAAATAATAGCCTTGACAATTTCATTCTATAGGCTCGGCTTCTTGAGAAGTAGGTTCTCTAGGCGCGGCTCCTAGACAATTAGGTTCTCTAGGCGCGGCTCCTTGACAGCTGTATTCTCTAGGCTCGCCTACTTGACATTCCAACACTCTTCCCACTCCCGCCCACAAAAACTAACCCCTCCCCAAAACAAAATTGCATGAGGTTTTTTTTTGAAGTGGCCTTACCTCACAACCACACACACCACAAAACAAAAATCTACCAAAATTTTTCATTTCTATATATGTTTTTAAGTTCAACCCTCTCATTTTCTTCTATTTTAATTCATATAATGGTGGAGGTGTTTTTCGTGGGTATTTCCCCCTTTCCCGGGTAATTTTCCCCGCTCCTGGGTAATTTCCCATCCCCCCACTCCCCCCAGATTTTTCACGAAGATGATTATAGTCGCTGATGTCGACGATTCAACGCGCCGAACGGCTCAATGAAAGCTCGCCACGGTTGGAACACGCTGAGCGCACTTTCACTGTGCGCGCCAATGCGCCACTTCCGCTCTCCTTCGAGGTAGACTCATCCCCCTGTATTTCCGCCTGCTTTTCCGTTTTTTCACTTTGTGATTTTATTTGCACCGGATGGGTTTGGGGTTTTTGGAACTTTTTTGGAGACCCGGAAAATTTTTGATTTAAAAAATTGGTAATATTATTTTTCTGGCTGAAAATCCAGGATTTCCAGAATGTTCTAGATCAAAATTTTGAGCTGAAAATCAAGAAAATATTGATTTTCAGCGTTTTCAAAAAAGTCCGAAGAATTTATTTTTAATACTGATTCACGAACGAAAATTTGTTTTTTTCAACACGAAAAGTCAAAAAATGTCGAAAAATTAGTTTTTCGAGTTTTCAGCCAAAAATGATGACAAATCGAGATTTTTCAAGCTTCTGGAGTAATTTCTGATGAAAATTGACCTTGGAATTCACTTTCCAGAGGTTTTTGCTGATTTTTCGAGAAAATTTCGAAAAAATTCATAAAATAAAGCAAAGTAGGGTTCTCGAAGCTTATTTTCATCAGAAATTACTCCAGAAACTTGAAAAATATCGATTTTTCATCATTTTTGGCTCTAAAACTAAAAAAAAACTAATTTTTCGACATTTTTTGACTTTTCGTGAATAAGTCCTAATTAAATCTTTGAAAACCTGATTTTCTTATGAACGAAATATCAAATTTCCAATAGGAATTCAGGAATTTCGATAAAAATCCACAGAAACTTCGAAAAGCCTCTGAGAAATTCAGAAGTTTCTGAAAATTAGTAGAAAGCTTTGTTGGAAACTCCGGAAATTCCCAGAATCCCCCCATTTTCGCACCAAAAAGTTCCAAACCCGCTCATTTTTCCACACACTTTTCCTCAGTTTTCCCATATTTTCCGTTGCTTCTCCTATTTTTCATCAATTTTTTTCGGTTTCCTTCAAAAACCATTCGTCCTCCTGTCTTCCTTCTTCAAAAATCCCCTTGGTTTCGTGGTTTTCTCCCTAACACTTTCACAAAATCGCTTTTTTGCTTGCCTTTTTCCTTTTCCGCACACTATAAAACTAACCTACAAAAATTGTTTTTTTCTCCAAAAAAAAGAGAGAGTTCAAAGAAGTGCCGATGTGTTGTGATGCTGAAGCTTTTGTTGGAAAACGAATTTTAATTTTAATTTTTCTATCTTTTTCGCGCCATTTGATTTTTCAACAACAGCTTTCAGTCTTTTTTCATGCTAGATATGCGCCCTTTGATTTTTCACTAGCCAGGAAAATTTTTTGCTAATTTTCACGATTTCCAGGAGAGCGGACAACCGTACACGACAGTTTCCACATGGCAAGAATCGAGTGATTTACCCGAACAGGTTGAGGTGTTTACCGATGAGAATGGAAGACAGATTACGTGAGTGTTTTTTTTTGTTTTGGGAGAGATTTGCGATTTTTTGAGCCCGAACATGGGATTTTTTGGGAAATTTTTGATTTTTCCGAGAAATTTTGGGAGTTTTTGAGCCCAAATATGGGATTTTTTGGAAATTTTTGAATTTTTGAATCAGCAAAAATTTGATTTTTCATTGAAAATCTAAATTTAAATCTGAAAATTAGGAAGAAAATTGAAATTTGCAAAAAAATCGAATTTTTCGAGAAATTTGCGACTTTTTGAATCGAAAAAATTTGATTTTTCATTGAAAATCTAAATTTTCCAGCTGAAAATTAGGAAGAAACTTCAAATTCAAAAAAATCGGGAGTTTTTGAGCCCAAACATGGGATTTTTTGGAAATTTTTTGATTTTTTCGAGAAATTTGCGATTTTTTGAGCCCAAACATGATTTATTTTCAAAAAAAAACTTTAAATTCAAAAAATTTGAGAATTTTTGAGCCCGAGATATTTTCGGGAAAATTTTGAACTTTTTGAATCAGAAAAATTTGATTTTCCATTACAAAATTGAACTTTCAAGCTGAAAATTAGGAAGAAAATTCAAATTTTAAAAAAATGTGGCAGTTTTTTTGAGCCCGAACATAATGTATTTTGAAAAATCGATTTTTTTTTGAGATTTTTTGAGCCCGAGATGTTTTTGAGAAATTTGAACTTTTTGAATCAGAAAAATTTGATTTTTCATAGAAAATTCAAATTTTCAAGCTGAAAATTGAGAAGAAAATTCAAATTTTAAAAAAATGGCAGTTTTTTGAGCCCAAACATGGGATTTTTTGGAAAATTTTGATTTTTCGTGAAATTTGGGATTTTTGAATCGAAAAAACTTGCTTTTTCAGTAAAAATTTGAAATTTCTAGCTGAAAATTAAGAAGAAAATTCAAATTTTGAAAAATTTGGCAGTTTTTTTGAGCCTGAACATGATGTACTTTGAAAATCTAGTTTTTTTGAGAAAATTTGAATTTTTTGAATCAGAAAAAACTTGATTTTTCATAGCAAATTCGAATTTTCAAGCTGAAAATTGGGTTTTTGTCAAAATCCTGAATTTTTTTAAAAATCCACCAGAAAATTTATCATAAGCCTTTAAAAAATGCTCAAAAAATCGCGGAAAATTCTCAAATTTCCCTCAGATTTTTTTAAAATATTTTTTTTCTCAGGCGAACAATCAAATCATCACAAGTGAAACATACGGTTCAAACGCAATCATTCCAAAACTACATTGTCGATGGAGATCAGGTTCCAGTTGGAGTTGTTGAAGTTGAACGAAGTCGCGAGCAATTGACGCCGATTGGTCAACAAGGTTGGGGATTTTTTGGGAATTTTTGGGGATTTCTGTGGAAAAATCCTGATTTTTTGATATAAAATAGGAAAATTGATAAAAAATTCACTTTTTTTGGGATTTTTTGATATAAAATTTGGGGATTTCTGTGGAAAAATGCCTGTTTTCCAGCCGGAACATCGGACAAAAATGGAATTGTCGAAACGCAAACCCGAACTATGACTTATGAAGCTGCGGCTTCGGAAGGTGCAGTTCCACCGCCAGGATGGGATGAACAAGTGAGCTTTTTTTTGCAAAAAAATTTCTTGAAATTTGAATTTTACGCGAGTTTTTAGTGTTGAAATTCGGGATCAAATCAGAATTTTAAAGCAAAATCTTTGAAAATTTATTGAAACGTAATTTTGCCGGGCTTTTTTCTGGTGATGAAATTTCCAAAAAATTATTTTCATCATTTTTTTTCAAAGTGTTCAATATCGGAACATCAAACCTGAATTTTAAAGCGAAATATTTGAAAAATTGTTGAAACGTAATTTTTCTGGGTTTTTCAAGAGAATTTTAAGTTAAAATATATTGTCACTTTTTTTTGAGTGTTTGACATTGGAAGATAAAATTTGAATTTCGGAGCTAGAATTTGAAAAAAAAATAATCGAAAAATTCAAGATTTTTCACCGAAAAAATCCAGAAATTTCAAAATATAATTGAAACCTCTGGTTTTTGCAGGGTCTTGGTGAATATGTGTCGTCGAAAAGTGTAACGCAAGGAAATCGTACAATCGAGACGATCACCTACAAAACGGAAAAGGATGGAATCATCGAGACGCACGTCGAACATCGAGTCACAATTCATTCGGATGGAGATATTGATCATGATGCGGTGAGCGACGAAAAATTTGGGATTTTTTGAGTGTAAATATGTCTAGGTGGCCTAGAAATCTGCATTTGGAAATCTAGGCCGGAAATTTGTGATTTTTTGAGTCTAAATTCGCCTAGGTGGCCTAGATATCCGGATTTGGGTTTCTAGGCCAAAAATTTGTGATTTTTCGAGTGTAAATATGTCTAGGTGGCCTAGATATCCGGATTTGGGTTTCTAGGCCCTGAAAATTACGATGTTTTGAGTGTAAATATGTCTAGGTGGCCTAGAAATCCGGATTTGAGTTTCTCGGCCAGAAAAATGCAACGTTTTGAGTGTAAATTCGCCTAGGTGGCCTAGAAATCCGGATTTGGGTTTCTAGGCCAAAAATTTGTGATTTTTTGAGTCTAAATTCGCCTAGGTGGCCTAGAAATTTGCATTTGGATTTCTAGGCCCTGAAAATTGCGGATTTTCCAAACCTAATTACCTCAAAGTCCCCCCAAATTTTCCAGATGGCCTAGAATTTCCATTCGAATTTCTAGGCCATCCGTTGAAAATTCGAAAAAACCCTCCGTATTTTTACAGGAATTGAGTCAAGCAATTTTGGAAGCCACTCAAATGAACCCGGACATGGTTGTTGAGAAAATTGAAGTTCGTCAAGAATCGACCCAATAAACGAGAATCCCCCTTAAAAAATGCATTCCTAACCTAAGTATATTTTTACCTTATTTTTTCCTTATTTTTTTCTTATAACTACATATAATATGGTGTTAAAACAACGGTCCCCCTCCTTATTTTTTTCATCCCCAAAAAAAGTTGTGCCCCCCCGTTTTTTTTGAGCGTGTGGAAGAATTCCATCTGTGTGTAGATCTACCTATTGTAATTTAGCGAAAAACGAACGAAAATCCCGCTTTTTTTCCTATATTTTTTCAAGCCAAGGAGGCTTCTCTAGAAAAATCACCGAATTTTTGTTGTGAAGTTAATTAGTTGTGATGTGGTTGGTCGTGTTTGGTGTATTTTTGTAAAGTCCCCCTGGTTTCGCCCCATTTTTCTATCCCGGGCAAAACTTATCGCAAAATCCTTTTTCCCCTAGTTTTGTTAGGTCTACCCACCCACGATGTTTGAGTTTTCCCCCACTCATTTTGGCACTATAAAACTTGAAAATTTCTCTGATTTTATAAGCTTTATGTGTGCGATTTTCATGTATTATTTAACCAATCACACGATTTTTTCTTTCTTTTTCTATCTTTTGACACCAAATAAATGCTTTTATCTTTTTTTTGAGAAAAAATGAGATTTCTAGGCTTTTTTGAAGGAAAATTACAGGAAATGACGAAAAAATGCAATCCTGGCATCGTTTCAAAGGCTTGAAGAGGAATTTGCAGTCTGAAATTGGGCGGTGACTGTAAAAATGCAAAAAAAACATTTTCCCGACGCTCCGCCCCTTTTCTGATCGAAAATTGATAATAAACTGTGCCAGACTTGCATTTTTCTCAAGCCCCGCCCATTTTCAGACTGCAAATCCATCCGAAAACGCTGAAAATCCCGAATTTCCAGCAAAAAAATAACATGCGCGGTCTCGTGTACTTCTCCCGGACAATGTGTGGCCTAGGCGCCGGCAAAAAACTCGTCCCCCGAAAAAAATTTCGAAAATTTTTTCGCAAAAAAAAAGATTTTCGAATTTTCACGTGAAAATTCCAACACCAACGTGATGACGATGGCAATTCCACGTCATTTGAAGTGGATTTCGGGCGGCACAGATTGGAAATCAGTTCACAATCAGATTAGATTAGAAATCGTGAGTTTTTCAGAGCTTTTGTTTCAAATCAGCTATTTTGTGTTGTTTTTTGCAGGAACAAAGATGCAAGCGTTCGGCGATTCTTCATCAACCACCAACATTCCGCAAAAACTCGAAAAGTTCTTGACGCCACCGCAAACCGAAGACAAATACGGGCAGACGACGATCTCGATCTCATCGAGCTCGGCTCATTCGGAGCACAATACGCCGAGCTATATTGAGTCGTTGAAAGAGGAGCGCAAACTATTGTCTAGTCATAGTGAATTGACGCATGTTTTCGATTTGATCGACAAGGAAATCAAGAGATTGTCGAATGCCGAGCAAGTTGAAGCTGCTCAGGCCGCTGCTCAAGCTTCCAAGGACCCGTCGCTTCTCTCAAAAACCTTGCTCGTGCCTGTTGAACTCTATCCAAACTACAATTTCGTTGGGCGCATTTTGGGACCACGTGGCACCACTGCCAAGCAATTGGAAACCGCCACCGGCTGCAAAATCATTATCCATGGGCGAAAAGCGTCGGGAACCGGAAGTTCCGTCGCCACCGCGAATGAGCCATTGAGCGTCGAATTGACGTGTTCGGCGAGTTTGCCGGATGCGGCCCAGAAGTTGGAGATGGGTGTCAGTGTGATTGAGGCGTTGTTGGTGCCACCGGTGAGGATTTTGAAGCGCTCCACCGAAATAAACACGCAACGCAGACCGCGCCGCGCCACAACACACACAAATTCAAATTCCCTCCCTTTTTTGTGTGTGTGTTGTGGCGCGGCGCGGTTTGCGTTGCGTGTTCATTTCGGTGGAGCGAGATTCCAGCACTAGCCCACTAGAAAGCTTCAAAAACTGGAAAATCATTATGTATTGTCGAAATTGAAAAATGTAACGGCCGTAAAAAATGAAAACCAATGCAGAATTGAATTGGACTTCGTCAGTCGCGTGCGGTTGTGCGGCGCGGTCGGGAAAAAATGAATTATTGATTGTTTTTCGACCGCGCCGCACAACCGCACGCGACTGACGAAGTCCAATTCAGTTCTGCACTGGTTTTCATTTTTTACGGCCGCCACATTTTTCAATTTTGACAATAGAGATTCACGAACGTTTTTTAACGATAAAAAACCGAAAAAGTGATTTACGAATGGTATTTTTGTTCATTTTTTCACAATTTTCTCAACACATTGAATAAAGTGAAGCTAAAACGCATTTTAGTGTCCAGAAATGCTATTTTAAGATCTTCTAATCAGCCTGAAAGACAAATCAATTTTCGAAAATCAAAATTTTGATTTTTAAGGCTTGATTTGTCTTTCAGACTGATTAGAAGGTCTTAAAATATCATTTCTGGACACTAAAATGCGTTTTAGCTTCACTTTATTCAATTTGTTGAGAAAATGGTGAAAAAATGAATAAAAATACCGTTCCTGAATCCTTTTTTTCAGTTTTTGAAGCGTTCTAGCTCCAAAATCATCAATTTTTCTAGGCTGACGGTCAAGACGAGTTGAAACGTCAACAATTGATGATTCTTGCCAATATGAATGGAACTTATCGTCCAAGATCAGCTGCAGCAATTGCAGCCGCCGCTGCGAATTCGACAGCTTCAGGAGGAGTTGGAGATTATCAATTTGAAAGTGAGCAAGCAAAAATAGAAAATCCCCCCAACAAATTCGATTTTTTGCAGATCTTCTTCCATTTGGCTATCGTCTTCCAACCGTCGGTCCGAATTGTCATCACGAAAAGATGGTCAAATCGTTGTTGTCGATGGGATTGCCGAATTCGAAGCCGCCGATTGTCGAAAATACGGATTGTTCGAATCCGAGATGCGCGGTTTTTCGAAATTTGTTGGGAAATGAGGCGAATCATCAACATGGATCATTGACGTAAGGAAACTCGTGTGTCGTTGGACGCGTTGCGGTCACGCGCTGCGTGCTTTGAAGCACGCAGCGCATGACCGCAACGCGTCCACGTCATAACTCATCCTAAGAGTTGAGCTAACTTCTGACAAGCAGATCCTGACCAGAAGGTCAAAATCTACTTGCAGCAGCAGCTAGTCCCTCGTAAATATTTCGAAAATTGATGAATGTCGGTGTGTGCGCGCGCGGTCGCGATGCGGTCGAAATAAAATCAATATTTTTTTCATTTTTCCCTCGAAAATGTTGTTTTTTACCTAAAAAACGGTCATTTTTTGCGTGATTAAATTGAAGTTATTCATTTTTCAAGTTTTTCAAACTAAAACCTGGAATTAATGTTGAATAACTTTAATTTGAGGCAAAAAATGACCGGTTTTTTGGAAAAAACAAGATTTTCGAGGGAAAAATGAAAACCGCATCGCGACCGCGCGCGCACACACCGACATTCATTCATTTTCGAAATATTTACGAGGGACTAGTTTCTGCTTGCCAGAAGTTAGCTGAACTCTGAAAATCAGCTATGACGTGGACGCGTTGCGGTCATGCGCTGCGTGCTTCAAATGCAAAAATGAAGCACGCAGCGCGTGACCGCAACGCGTCCAACGGCATTTGTGCTCTTCTAAAAACCTAACCAATTCTTGTTTCCAGAAAATTCGAAGATGTCTTAAATGCGATGCAATTGTATGAAGTTATCAATCGAATTCGAATCTCGGAAAGTTCGGCAAACTTTGGCCGAAAATTGAATGTACAAAGGAAATAAGCCCCTAGTTTTTCTACCCAACCACCTAACATCTCCTACCAAAAATTCCCCTTATTTTTCTCTGTCTCTCTCCAATTTTCATGTGCTATTTCATGTTTTATGTATTTTCCAGCCCCCAAATAAAGCCACCTGTAATTCCAGATTAATATATTTATTCTTTTTAGTGTTTGATTTTATTGCCTTGAAGAAATGATGATGAAGTTATGAATAATCTCGCAAAATTTTTGATTTTGGTAGATCAAATTAATTTTGACCGCCTTGTTTTTTGTTTGGAAGAAAAAATCGATTTTTTTCGCATTTCTTGTTTTGTTTTGGTGCGAAAAGGGTTCAAAATAGATGATAGTACGATATTATTTTGGGAAAATGTCTCAATATTGCCCTGTTATAATGTTAATATTAACTTCCCAAAATTGAAAAGTGTCTGCCTCATCCAAAAAAACACGCTATTTTGAAACAAACCCATCTCGAGGTGCGAAAATTTTTATGAATGACGTGACAGGTGGCTTAGGGATTCAAAAACGATTGAACATTGAAGTAATATTCATTGCAAAAATGTCACTTTACGATGTGAAAATTGAAAACTAATTGTTGTAGACGTAGACTTTTCAGAATTAAAAGTTTCTTAAACAGTTTTCAGTCTAGAAACCGAATTTGTTTTTCGAATTCTCGAGAATAATTTCACACAAACGCATTTTTCAGGTTATAAGAATTATTCTATAACTTTCAATTTTTTACAAATACAAAACCAATTTTTGAATACAATTTTTAAATGCGTGGAGCATAAATTCGAAGAGTGAAGGAAAAATTCATACGAAAAAATGGATCCTTTTGAGTTACATAAAAACTATAAATAAAATGGGCCCCATTCAGAAAATATTATTTCCAATAAAATGACATAAAACGGGCCCCATTCAGAATCACAATTTTCATAAATGGGCCCCGTTTTATTTTTCGACCCCATTCAGCCTTATTTTTTATGCATCTGACTCCATTCAGACGATAGACTCTTTTTGGGCCCCTTTTTGACAAGCGGGCCCCATTCAGCCGTACCCTTTCAGTTTTCGCCATTTTGAACCGGAAATTCCCAGAAAATGCAGAAAAGGCGCGGCTAACCCTAATACTTACCTTTAGAAGAATCGAAATTCGTAAAATGATATCTTCTCTGTATTTTGAGCCAGATTCAATCAGATTTTCCGAATCTCTGAACATTAGTTACAAAATTTCAAAATTTGAAAAAACAGTGACATACCGTGTAAAATGGCTTGAAAATGCATAAGTACTGTAGCTTGTATCTAATGTTTAAGAAGCTTTCTGAAATCCTTCGACGATTGTACTAATTACAACATGCTCTTTCAAATTGGCATAAACTTATTTTTTGCTCGCACTCCACCAACCGCTCTCTACTTTTTTTGTACATGTTTTCCTTGCCAAACTCCAATTGACTTCCTATAAATTGTTCCCAAGCCAAAAAATGGGTGGAGCTTAAAAGGTGTAAAAAATAGGAAAGAAAAAACAACGCTCCTAAATACTTTTTATTAATCATATAATAATTAGAACCTGCTAGTTTTTCTGTTTCTCATTATTTTTGTTGCTGGAAAAATGGTGCTACTCAAGTTTAAAAATCAAAGCGATTATGAATTTGACTACGAAAATGTTGGGAAGATATTTTTCTTTGATTGGAAGCAAATCGAAAATCCGGTGAGTTGTTTCAAAACTTTTCAAAATTCATTTTATCAGTCCAAAAAAAAAATAAGCAGTCCCAAATTTATTTTGGGTCTGCAAATTATTTATTGAACATTTTGTGTTGTGCAAATAAAATGTGACATAGTTCAGTGGTAAAACTCTCGATTTTGAATCTGATGGTGACGAGTTCGATCCCTCCTGCATGCGAACTTTTTTTTTTTGTTTTTTCTATTTTTGACACAATCTTTTTATTTGCTAAATTCCAATCAAAACCTACGTTTCTTGCAGTTCGATATTCTTCCAATGGAAATGAAAATGATGATTTTCATATATTTGGATCCGGAAGACATAACTCAATTTGGAAAATGCTCAAAAAGTTGTCAAGAATTATTCAAATTATTGCGACCAAAAATCAAAAGTGTATATTATCGAGGAAATATAGAAATGAGCCAAGAATGTTATCTACGAATCCAATTTCATAAATATCCGACGAAAATATACCAAATAGAATTGGAAACAATCAATTCGAAAAAATTATCGAGAAGAAATAGGATGATTGAATGTAATGGAATAATCGTCGAAACTATTGGATCGAAAAAATCAAATACGAAAGGATGCAGATCCAGTATTTTACTCACAAAGTTAGTTTTTTGTTTAAAATTTAGTTTGATCAAATAATGAACGTGTTTGGAATTTTTACTAAAAAGTTATGACGTCACAAATCTCAAACCTTAAAGACACGTAGAAAGCTAGAAATCGTTCAAAAATCATTATTTGCATATTTTATATCATCCTTCAAACAGTACATAAACAAAATTGAAAAATATTCGGTTAAGCGAAAGTCAAAAAGAAATCGGCTTTTTTGAAATCGCTCAGCCGACGCGAAATTGGTGTTTGCACAAATGTTCGTAATTTGACGCACATGTGTGCATTCTTAGCATACCGTACCACCACTTTTTTATTTATTTTTTGAAAAACGGCGCGCGTTCAAATTTTTACGATTGCGAGCACACATTTCTAGTTTTTTACGTGTCTTTGAGAAAGAACAAAAAAATTAGAAGTGTGTTTTTTTTTGCTGAGATACATAGAAAAAATAAAACATGTTTTTTCACGTGAAATTGCGGACTGATTGCTTTGACCGCATGAAGCTAATTTGCAATTTTGCACTTTCAAAATTTCAATGGAAAAAAGAACGAAATTGCTTTGACACGCGGAAAAACGTGAAAATGACATGGGCTTTCGAGTCTGCAAACACCGCTTCTATTTTTTCTATGTGCTGAGTCCACCTTCGGATTTCGAATCAAGATATCATCACAGTTCGATTCCAGCGGAAGGAATTCATATTTTCAGATTCACAATAACACCACTATCAAGATATCAAGATACGAAACTACTATTACATCGAACAAATCCAAAACATCTTCAAATTAATGCTTTTGAAATATTCAAAAATATAATTGAATTTAACAAATCATCGATTGATGAAATTACAATTGAAGTAAATCGTATTGAATCAATTTACATGAGAGCGATTGATATTTATTCGGAAAACTTGAAAATATTGCAAATCGATGGAAATTTCACAGATCATCCACAATTGAATCAATTTCTCTCAATTGAATTTGTTAGCATGAAAAATTTCAAAATTAGCTCGCAACATCTTCCAATGATAAAATCAAAAGATCTTGTGTTGCACAAAACAGTTATGGACCAAACATTGTATAACGAGCTTTTGACAAAATGGAGAGATGGTTTGATGGAAAATTTGAGAAAAGTTACGATGTTTGGAGATGATGATTGGTTTCATGATTTGTTTGTTGATAATACGATTCTTAGAGTTGTGATGAATGAATATGGAGAGTTAGTACAGAGGTGAGTTGATAGAATTCCAAAAACTTCCGAAGTACTCGATCGAGTCACTTTTTCAAAAACGCCGTAAGATTCAAAAAAAATCTTCATATTTTTGCAGCAGTATTGATGAAATAAGATGTGAAGTTGTTGGTTCGCCATCAGTTGATTTTAATATCAAAGGAGTTTTGCTTGATCAGAATCATCATTGGCCTGTTCGAATGTATCTGAAACGAGACGATTTTTAACAATTTTCTTTTCTTATCGTTTTCTTCATCTTTTTGTTAACTTAAAAAATATAAATAAACTTTTTGAAAAAAATTCAAAAAATGCATCTACCAAAAATTAAGGATTTATATTTGAGGATTATTGAGATTGTAGGTTTTTTTTGGGCTAGAGTTACCGAAAATTCAGGTTGAATATAATAGCCACGTGGATTTTTGATTTTAGAAAAAACCTTGAAATTTATTTATTTATGAAAATTATTTATGAAAATTTGAGGGAATTCAAAGATGTCTTGAAGATTTCTGAATTTTGCAAAGATTTTTAAACAAAAAAAAATCATATAAAATTTGGAGCTACAGTAACCCTTGTATTTCGCAAAAAACTCTAAGCCATTCAGAGCTACAGTAATCTTACAGCTCTAGTAACAAAATACAGAACTGCCGTAATTTTTGCAGTTTAAAAAATCCTTGAAATTTTAGATCTGCAGTAAACTTTGCAGTTCCAAAATTCAGAGCTACAGTAATCCTTGCTATTTAAAAAAAATCCGGTAAAATCCAGAGCTACAGTAACTCTTGCAGTTTCCAAAAATGTGGCATTTCCAGAGCCACAGTAACCCTGGCAGTTCCAAAAATCCTCGAACATCGAACATCATTACGTGTTTTTGTCGCGTTGTGGTGACTATTTTGCTATGACGAAACCCAAACAAAAAAAGGTAAAAGTACGGAGGAGTCATCGAAAAATGGTATTGAAGACAAAATTGAGGAATTACTCAATAAACACCTCGATTTATTCACTACCAAGATATGTAATGTTATTGAGGAGAAAATGAGTGTTATTCGCCAAGAAGTTGATAGACAAAATGAGCTATTGAAAGAAGCATCCACTCATATTGAAGTTCTAAAAGCTAATTATGATATTGCTATGAAATGTATGGCTGAGTTGAGAAAAAGAGTTGAGCAATTGGAAATGATGAAAATGGATAATGGTTATTTTGAGGTCACGTTTTTTTCTTCAAAATTTTGTCTTTGTTAAAAAAAATAACGATTTGGTTCGGGATTAAATCGTTAGATTCAGACAATATGACATCAATTTATTATCACTATGAGCATGAAATGAGCCTGTTTTGGCCTTTCCTTTTTCCGAACTTCTTTATCCTTTAAAATTTAAGGATGAAAAAAGGACGCTAAAAGCATGAACGTCAGATTTACAAATTTTTGACCAAAAAAAAGTTGATCAAAAAAATAACATTTTCTACCTTTTTAATAAAATCCCTCACTAATTTTTTTTCTGACAATGAATTTCTTTCTGAAAAAAGGTAGACTATTTTTCTAATGGGGCTATTCAGCGATTTTCTCAACACGCTTAGAAAAAGGGGAAAAATGCTGAGAAAATCATTTTCTCAACCGTTTTCCTATTTTCTCAACCTTCCTGAATAAGTTTTCTCAACCAATTCAGCGTTGAGAAAAGACGTTGAATAGCCCCATAACGTCAAAATTTTTTTTCGAGCATTTCTAAGCAAATTGATGGTCATTTCTTGTGTCAGAAATGGTCAAGTGGTTAAATCATGTGTTTTTTGTTCAGAAGGTCCAGGATCGGATCCTTTTGGACGTTCGCGAAGGTATGATTTTCGGAAAAAATGGGAAATGTCCAAAATTGCGATATGGGCCAAACCCGGGCTCAACCCAAACCCAACCCAAAACCATGGTTCACCGGTTAACTGAACCAACCATGGTTTACCCGGAATGTTAGTTACAAATAAAATTTTATTTAAAAATTACTGTAGATAATCGATATTGATTGGTGATAATTTTACTATTGGCCCCAGGGAAATATTGTTAATTATTTTTTTGTTTTGTTTTTTGAAATACTCTTTATACATTCTTTATTGTGGCGCAGCCAATAGCAAAGGGTGTAATATAAGTAAGCCTCTCTGTGACCACGCGCATTTGGTGGGTTGCAAGGTTGGTTCGGTTAACCGGTGAACCATGGTTTTGGGTTGGGTTTGGGTTGAGCCCGGGGTTGGCCCATGAAGTTGGGTTGGGTTGGGTTAGGGTTCGGGTTGGGTTAGGGTTCGGGTTGGGTTAGGGTTCGGGTTGGGTTAGGGTTCGGGTTGAGTTAGGGTTCGGGTTGGGTTAGGGTTCGGGTTGGGTTAGGGTTCGGGTTGGGTTAGGGTTCGGGTTGGGTTAGGGTTCGGGTTGGGTTAGGGTTCGGGTTGGGTTAGGGTTCGGGTTGGGTTAGGGTTCGGGTTGGGTTAGGGTTCGGGTTGGGTTAGGATTCGGGTTGGGTTAGGGTTCGGGTTGGGCTTTAAAGGGGGGGGGGGGGTAAGACGACAAAATTTTATTTGCTCAATGAATCGGGCTCCCTTTGAATAGTAAAAGCCCCAGGGGATTTTTTCGCGAAGGGCCTAAAAAGGTCGAAAAAAATATTCCATGAACTTTTTTCAACGTACGTTGTCCGAAAGTTTATGGAATAATTTCAACGTATAGCGTGGTACCTAGTTTATGGAACATTTTTTGACATTTTTACCTGGGAAATTCGGAATTTTTCGGAATGAAATAAAACTTTAAAAATTTGTCTTCAAAAGTTACATTTTTCGAGAATCACAAGAGAAAAAGAGATTTTTTGAAAATGACAGGTAAAATTCATCTATTTTTCCATTTTTTTTTTGTTGAATTTTTCACTAATTTCAGCTCAAACATTCCGAAAAATTCCGAAATTCGGTAGAAAAATTCCGAAATTCGGAAGAGAAACACATTCCGAAATTCCAAAAAGTTTCGGAAGTAACATCGGAATGATTCCGATTCCGAAAAAATAGATTCCGATTCCGAGACACGTTTGTCTCATTCCGAAAAACCTGTCGGTTTCGGAATTTCGGAATTCCGATTCCGATCAGGCCTGTCTGGGATCTTCTGAACAAAACTAGAGCGCGCCTAACCGACTGAGCTACCACACATTTTGTTGAAGTAGGTGCGACTGCCAAGATATATTTCATGTTTTCTGCACTGTAGAAAACAGATGATGGCTTTGAGTTTGATAATAAATGTCTTCAAAATATAGTTTGTTTCCGTTTTCTGCAATTTTTCTGAGAAAAAAAGACAATAATTGAACGATTTTTTCAAATGTTTAAGTTTTATTAGTGGTAATTGAAATAAATAAATAATAACTTTTGATTAAAATCCATTTGAGATTGGAACTTGAAGTTGAAATGGGCCGTAGTCGTTTGAATCTGTAAAAATTAATTTGTTCTAGAGCTAATGAAAAAAATCCCCTCACTTAGCAAAAAAATTTTGGCGTCGTGGATTTCATCAAAATTTTGAAAAAATATTGGCGCCGTGCATTTGTTAACCCCTGGGCGTGCTATGGCTACAATAATATTCGGAATTCTAAAGTCCTAAAAATTTCAGAGCTACAGTAATCCTTAAAGTTTGAAATTTGAAAATTAAAATACATTTTCAAGAAAAACCAAGAACTTTTATTTCTAAAAAATCTACGTAGAAAAATTTTTTCTGCACAAATTTCCACGAAATTTCAGAATAATTTCCCCAATCCCTTTTTCCAAGCCCATTTTTCAATTCTCAATTTTCCGCATCGTCATCGTGTGCCTGATCGTCTCAGTTTTCGGTCCGGGACCATTCAAAGGTGTCCTGTTCGGTCAAACAATTCTACTGATTGTCGCCAGCGTCGCCATGCTTCTCACCTTCATTTTCCTCATCGCCTACTTTTTCACACTTCACGGATCGAAAATAGGATTGTTATGATGTATAACCAATTGGGCAACCATCAAACCGAAAGTTTCGCACCAGCAATCTCGAAAAAACTGCCAGCAAATCAATCATAATCTCGGAACCGAATTGATGTTAAAATTTTCTATTTTCTTGTTGACTTGTTGATTGATGATTGAAAATAGGATGCTCTTGAGGACGAATTCAATTGGATGTCTCGAAAAATTTGATGAAAATCGCCGATTTTGCTTTTTGAGTGTTAGCAATTTCCGAAAACCTTTGATGACGATCACCAATTTTGCTCTTCGCTTTCGAAAATCACGGAGAACATTGAGAATAATTGAAATACCTTTTAATTATAGATGTTTTATAGCATTGTATCTTGTTTATTTTCTTCATTATGTATTTTCTGGCATCTTGAGCTAAATTTGTTGTTGTACGCTGTAAAACAGTGTTTTTCGAATGAAATGTTTTGTCTTCTTCTAAAAAATTTCAGATTCATCTCTTTAAAATCAATGCCGGTAGGTTTTTATTCTGGAAAACCCGCTTCAAACTGAAAAAAATAGGTTTGAAACAAAAAAACGTTTTGTGTTCGGTAGAGTAGGCGCACTTCAATGTTCTCTGCGTCTCCTCGGGTGTTTCTCTCTCGCCTGTGTCACCGTGAAACGTTGTGAAAATCAGCTCATTTATGATTATCCCATAAAAAAATGTCTATTCCAGGATCTTCTATTCAATGTGACTTGCTCAATCCTCTTCTTCATTCTTTCATTCATCGAAGCCTATTATTCCACGGGATCTTGGTCGAATAATTGCAATGATATGGGATCCGATGGTTTCATTCACAATGGTTGTCGAATTGTTTATGAGTGGGCGTTTGCAGCTGTAAGTTCTTAGTTTTTGCCCCAAAATCCAGTCAAAATTTTTGCAGTTCCTCACCTTCATTCTCGCCATTTTCTACGCTCTCTCCGCCTTCTTCTCATACCGCAATCGCCATTCTCTTCATAATGTTCGAGAGGAGATTTATTGAATCTAAATCCGTCACCAACCATCATCTTGTCATAATATAATCATCTACTTATACTGCCTCTTCGAAGAAAACATAATGAAAATATTGACTTTTCAAGGAAATATCACTTTTTACAGGGAAATTTTAGAAGTGTTGTATATCATCAGAATCGTCTCGACGAGAGGAGCAAAACTTTATTCGTCATTTTAGAATCCGTTGCCTGTGAGATGTGCAAAATGCGAAAAACACAACGAAGCCGATTAAAGGTGCATGCGATGGTCTCGCAGCGCAACACACATTTCTCGAAGCTGGAATATTATCAAGCTATTTATCGACGCGCTTTGACATATTTGGCACTTTCACGACCATCTTCTGCATTTTTCTGATTTTCAAAAAGTTCTTGCTCTCAAACCCGATTTTGTCGCAGCTGAACAACAAAAAGCTGATATTTTATCGAAGCAGGGAAAACTAGAAGAAGCCGAAAAAATCTATGAGAAATTGAGGAATAGTGAAAAACTTGTTGAGATTCGACGAATTCAAAATCATCTCGATGAAATTGAACACGCTTTTGAGAATGGAGATTATGAAGTTGCTGAAGAAATGATTGCTGGAATTATTGAAGATCAAAAATGGAATGGGGAATTATTCAAGAAACGAGCAAAATGCGCGGAAATGGCTGGCGATTTCAAAAAAGCTGTCAGAAATCTCAAACAACTTATAAAATTGTCACCAGATAGTACAGATTTGATGCATGAAGTTTCGCAAATTTCATATAAAATTGGAGATTTTGATGATTCTTTGAAAATGATTCGCGAATGCTTGAAATTGAATGCCGATCATAAAGAATGCTTTGCATTTTATAAAACTATCAAAAAACTTGTGAAAGGAGTTGGTGAGTATTTATATACTTATTATAAAAATACGAAAAATTCCTAAAGAAAAATGATTTTTGCAGACTCTGTAAAATTGTCAATCGAATCGCAAAACTGGGAAGAATGTTTAAAAACCGCTGAAAAAACTGTGAAATCTTTCGAAAATGCAAAATCTGCATTGCAAATCCTTAGTCTGAAATGTCATCGAGAATCTGGAAATAATCAACAAACAATTATCGACGCCACAGAACTTCTCAATTCTGCTGAAAATCCCTTCGAGACTGAAATTCTTCATCATCGCGCATTGGTTTTTCTAGAAGAATCGGAATTCGATGATGCAATTCGAGATTTGAAGAAGATGCTAGAAAATGATGAGGATAATCGAGAATTCAAAGAACTTTTGAGAAAAGCTGAAAATGCCAAGGTTCAAGCTGGAAAACGAGATTATTATAAGATTTTGGGAGTGAAAAGAAATGCGAAGAAAAAAGAAATTGTGAAAGCGTATAGACAATTGGCACAAAAATGGCATCCGGATAATTTCAAAAGTGAAGAGGAGAAGAAAAAAGCGGAAAAGAAGTTTATTGATATTGCGGCGGCGAAAGAAGTTTTGACTGATAAAGGTGGGTTAGCTTGGGAGCTTGGATAAACTTGAGAAAAACTTTTTTGCAGAGAAACGTGAGCAATTCGACAACGGAATCGATCCATTGGACCCTGGAGCAGCTCAAAATCAACAAAATCACGGGCATCACGGCGGATTTCCACATGGTTTCAATCCATTTGGCGGAAACGGTGGAAATTTCCATTTTTTCTACAACTAGTCTGTTTTTTTTGTTTCATAATAATTCGAAAATTATAAATTTTTATCTTTTTCTTTTTTTGTGGATTCTGTGAAATGGTTTCACGAGCCAGATATCTGATATTTTAATTTGGTGTGAGAATTTATAGCGAAAATCTGAAAAACCGTGTAAAATTTTCTGAGAATTGATTTTCAGAATATTTTACAGGGATTACAGCGGCGATGCGGAAGCTATGCCCAAAAATGAATTTTTCTAAATGAAGCTACTTTTTTGTTTATGGGGCTATTCAACGTCCTCGGATAAAGTGATGCGCCACTTGCTCACTTCTGGGGCGCTGTTGCTACCATCTGGGGCGATAGGCGCATCAAACAGCCGGGCGCCGTCGCCCGAAACAGCGCCTCAGATGATGCGCTGTCGCCCGAACTGACGCATCAGAACGACGCGCCGTCGCCCGAAACAGCGCCTCAGATGATGCGCTGTCGCCCGAACTGACGCATCAGAACGACGCGCCGTCGCTCGAAATAACGCAGCAAACCTTCCAAAAAGCGTTTTTGGATCAGAAAAAGCTCGATAAGCGCTAGAAAAGCTGAATTGAACACTAAATTAACATCATATATTGAAACAATGATATTTATTTACTCTAAATACAGAAGTTATAACATAAATAATTATTTTTGACTCTGCGGCAGCTTGTTGTTGATTGAAAATCTCGTGCCGCAATCTGAAAAATGGTATTGGTATAAACATAGCGAAGCACTTCTGCGAATTGTAAGATATGAACTTTCACAATCTTCCTATACTCTAATAACTTTAGTAAAACTCGGCTTATCTAGGCTAATTTTCTAATAATAGAACTCACTTGAGCTTTGTTGACTCGTGGTTCAAACTCGGTGCTCATTTTTGAATCCATTTCGAAATGAAAGAAAATTGAGGAAAAGTCAACAAAAACGTGTCCACTATTTTTGCGAAAATGTTCGAAAAAAGTTAAATGGACCCGAAATTACAGATTTTTTCAGAAATTTGGCCTTTTTATCGAAATGTGGCCCAAAATTTGGATTTTTTTAGAAATTTGACTGAAATTTCAAATTTTTCCCATTTTTTTGTCAAAAATTCCGATTTTTGTTGAAAACCAGACTCAGGGCCCAAAATTACAGATTTTCTTGAAAATACGGTCTGATTTGGCCCAAAATTTGGATGTTTCTAGAAATTTGGCTGAAAATCCAGCTTTTCCCTCGCTCGAAACCTTGCATTATCAAATTTCAAGATCTCGGGTCTGGGAAAAGCTGAAAATTTCAGATTTCCATCATTTTTGGTTAAAAATCCAGCTTTTTTTTTATCAAAAGCAAGAATTCTCATATATCAAGCTTTATGGTTGAGGATAAGCTGAAAAATTCAAGATTTTCATCATTTTTGATTGAAAATCCAGCTTTTCCTCGCTGGAAACCTTGAAATTTGAAAATTCAAGGTTCCGGGTCAAGGCAAAGCTGAAAATTCCAAATTTTCTTAATTTTGGGCTGAAATTCCAAATTTTGGCTGAAACTTTTTTTCTCGCGAAAAACATGAATTTCGAGCAAATTTTCAGATTTTTTGCTGAGAATCCTTGAAAATCACGATTTATATGCTGAAAATTGTGATTTCCAAGGATTTTGGGCAGAAAATCTGAAAGTTGGCTTGAAATTTGAAAGTTTGGCTTGAAATTCATGTTTTTTCGGGACATATCGCAACTTTCTAGGGGGTTTGCTAAGTATAAGTCTAAAAAAACCTGAACATGATGTTGAAAGTATAAGAATTATTTCAAAATTTCAACATCACTTCAGGATTAGGCTTAGTAACCACCTAGAAAGTTGCGATTTCATCCAAAAAAACGTGAATTTCAAGGCAAACTTTCAAATTTCAAGCCAAATTTCAGATTTTCTGCCCAAATCCTTGGAAATCACAATTTTCAGCTGAAAAATCGCGATTTTCAGGGATTTTCGAAAAAAATGATAGTTTTCGAGCTGAAAACCATGAAAAAACCATGAGTTTTATGTATTTCAGCTCGAAAACTATTGGAATTTTTTTAATGAAAAATTCGAAATTTAATCAAATTTTGAAATTCTAATTCTCGTCAAATGTTGATATACGGCAGGAAGGTATGCCAGATCAGCTGGTTCGCTATCTTTTTACGTATTCGATTGTCTGTATTTCGAGATTCATATCGAAAAACACTTACCATCTCTTGTTTTCCTAGTCGATTGACCATTCGATCTGTTTCCATTTCGACCGTCTCGATGTTGATCATGATATTTTAATTGTTCCAATCTAGAATCAATCAGTTAACCTACGATTTTTTTTTTTGAATTTTCGAAAGACAATACATAAAAATCAAACCTGAGGAGCGCGCAAAACAAAATGATTTTTGTGACGCCACCATATGTTGTATTGGTTATTTATTGTCGTACTTCCGATTCCGGTTATCTGAAAACTATCTTATCGCAGAAACAAGCCAGACGAATAGGAAATTGCCATTGGGTCGAAAGAGAAACAAAAAACTGACTCTAGGATCAAGAATTTAACTGAAAATGAAATGACGTCTAATGTTCACGTAAAAATAATGAAATCTTGCCGGAAAATTTCTCGTAAATCTGAATACTTAATTAAAATATTCCGGCTTGAAAAAATACACCGAAAAATGACAAAACTTTTCGAAAATCATTTTCTCCGTAATAGAGCCGAGATTTCTACTTATTCGGCAGCAAATAACATATAAAAAGATAAAATCAACGTGGTTTTCATCACTTTACCACAATTTCTCTTGAAAAAATACTGAAAACCCTCGAAAAACACAAACAAAAAAGAGGCCGCCCAAAAAAAGAAAAATAAAAAGGTTCGCGTCATATAAAATGCTTGCACACTTTGTTTCCTACCGTAGTGCGAGTGCATGCCGTCGCCCGAAATAGCGCCGGAATGCGCGCCGTCGCCCCAAACAGCGCATAAAATGAGGCGTTGCTCAGGGCAACGTCGCATCAAAATTCTTTTATCAAATTTAGCATGCGACGTCGCCCCAAATGGCGCACCACTTTAACCAATATTGGTTGAGGAAACTTATTCAGGAAGGTTGAGAAAATAGGAAAACGGTTGAGAAAATGATTTTCTCAGCATTTTTCTCCCGTTTTCAGCGTGTTGAGAAAATCGCTGAATAGCCCCATTAGAAGCCACAGGCATAAATTTCTGACTTTTTTTTCTGTCGGCTCCGCCCCCTGCCACGATTACACGTTTCACGTTTTTTAAATAATTTTGTCGATTTCATCTTTTTTCTTCACTAAATTTCGAAATGCAAAAAATCAGAAATAATTATTGCTTGAAAAAAACGTGCCGCACCTTGCCAAATAAATCCCGCCTCCCAATTCACGCGAGAATTTTTTTTTTCTGCGACAGGCATTTCTGAATTAAAAAAGTCAAGAATTTATGCCTGTGGAAGCCGAGAAAACCGGGATGACCCGATGTCTCTTATAACGTCTCTATAACCAAAGGAATACACAACGCATGGGAGTTCATTTGGGCTTTCATTGCAGACCTGTCGTTTTACGGCTTTGGGCAACATTTTGAAGAAGAATTCATTTTTTTGCTTTTTTGATCTACCTTTTCGCTCCATCTTTATTTTTTCTGTCGTTCAAAAAGCATTTTCTATCTCAGAGAAATGGGCTGGAGAACCGGCGGAGAAACGACCTGTCGGCGAACTTTCGGATAACCGGCGGACAAAAGTTTCGACGAAATAGTGTTGGTCAGACATTCCGGCGGTTGTCCGAAAGTTCGCCGACAGGTCGTTTTCCGCCGGTTCTCCAGCCCATTTCTCTGAGTAGTTGAGAGATTCATTCCGTTTTCACAATTCATAAATGTTTTCCCAAAAGTATCAATTTCCGATTTTTCAGTAATCATGAATTCGAAAGGTGCCGATGTTTTCAACAATTGATTCATGAAAAGGTTGGTTTTGGCTCTGAAAATTTAATATTTTTTATTGAAATTTGGTGGCTGAAAGTCAGAAATTGAATTTTTTCTGATTTTAGTTTCAAAATTTCTAAAGTTTTCTGATTTTGGCTCCAAGGTCGGAAAAAAAACTAAAAAAAACATTTTTTTACAAAAAAATTCGATTCAGCAAATGTCAAAAAAATCATCAATTTTTCCAAGTTATTTTTCCCAAATTTTTTTCCCAAGTTGATTTTCATTTTCCCAAGTTTTATTTTTTTCCCAAATTTTTTTTTCCTGTTATTTTTTTTCATTTTCCCAAGTTTTTTTCCCAATTTTTAGTTTTTTTCCCAAATTTTCGGATCGCATGAAATTGGTTCGTTTTTTAAGAACATCAGGGATTTTGATTCTCTATAAGAGATCTCGAAATTTTATAAAAATAGAAGGGTCCGTCAAAATAGCTACTAGAAAAATGAGAGTTTTTCTTGTGTAAAGTGTAGTGTGTTTTTTTCAATTTTCGGCGAGTCTGTATGTTTCCAGGAGGGTTCACTACTTCAAGCCTAGAAAGAATAATAGAAAAATTAAAAATCTTACTTGGCTTCTCAACTTCAGAATTAGGCTTAGGCTTAGTTAAACGCCCAGAAAACTGAATGTTGGTTTATTTTTTACAGTCGGCCTTCTCAAAATAAGTCTGAATCTGCTGTTTTCGTTCCGACAAACTTGTGAAAAATCACAATGTTCATTCCAAAAACAAAATTTTTTTTCGACTAATTTTAGCATTTTCGCATTTAGGAATTGCATAACTTCAGGTTATGACCGGGAGAAGCTGATATGTGATCAGTACTCAATTGGCTTTGAAAAATAGGGAATACCGGAAAAAAACTTGAAGAATTGGGTAAAAACGACAATTTGGGAAAAAAAAAGAAAAATTGGGAAAAAAACTTGGGAAAAAACAAAACTTACTTGTGGAAAAAAATTTGGGAAAAATAAAACTTGGGAAAATGAAAAATCAACTTGGAAAAATTTGGGAAAAATAGCTTGGGAAAAAAATTGACCAAAACTCTATTTTTTTCCACACAAAACAGAGAGATATCTCGCAGCGAAAATGTTTCAATGAAAAAAATGTCGAGAAATAGGAAAAAAATATAGTTTTTTGACATTTGCTGAATCGATTTTTTTTGTAAAAAAAATGTTTTTTTTTAGTTTTTTTTTTCGACCTGAATCACCCCATCAGTTTTTGTGAATTGACTTATTGTAAAATTGATAAATATAGCCAAATTTCAGATCTTGACGCCACCGCAAACCGAAGACAAACACGAGCAGACGACGATCTCGATCTCATCGAGCTCCGCTCATTCGGAGCACAATACGCCGAGCTATATTGAGTCGTTGAAAGAGGAGCGAAAACTATTGTCTAGTCACAGTGAATTGACGCATGTTTTCGATTTGATCGACAAGGAAATCAAGAGATTGTCGAATGCCGAGCAAGTTGAAGCTGCTCAAGCCGCAGCTCAAGCCTCCAAGGACCCGTCGCTTCTCTCAAAAAACCTTCGAACTCTATCCAAACTACCATTTCGTTGGGCACATTTTGGGACCACGTGGCACCACTGCGAAGCAATTGGAAACCGCCACCGGCTGCAAAATCATTATTCATGGGCGAAAAGCGTCGGGAACCGGAAGTTCCGTCGCCACCGCGAATGAGCCATTGAGCGTTGAGTTGACATGTTCGGCGAGTTTGCCGGATGCGGCCCAGAAGTTGGAGATGGGTGTCAGTGTGATTGAGGGGTTGTTAGTGCCACCGGTGAGTATTTGAAGCTGAAATTGTTTTCAAAACGTGCTTTTCGTGTATTATCGAAAATCTCCACGCGCTCCACCGAAATAAACACGCAACGCTCATTTTTTTTACGGCCGCCACATTTTTCAATTTCGATAATAGTGATTCACGAACGTTTTTTAACGTTAAAAAACAAAAAAAGTGATTCACAAACGGTATTTTATTCATTTTTTCAATTATTTTTCTCAACACATTGAATAAAGTGAAGCAAAACGCATTTTAGTGTCCAGAAATGCTATTTCAAGATCTTTTCTAATCAGCCTGAAAACAAATCAGCCTTGATTTCGAAAATTGATTTGTCATTTAGGCTGATTAGAAGGTCTTAAAATATCATTTCTGGACACTAAAATGTGTTTTAGCTTCACTTTATTCAATGTGTTAAGAAAATGGTGAAAAAATGAATAAAAATACCGTTCGTGAATCATTTTTTGGGTTTTTCAACGTTAAAAAATGTTTTTTTTTCAGTTTTTGAAGCGTTCTAGCTCCAAAATCATCAATTTTTCTAGGCTGATGGTCAAGACGAGTTGAAACGCCAACAATTGATGATTCTTGCCAATATGAATGGAACTTATCGATCAGCTGCAGCAATTGCAGCAGCCGCTGCGAATTCGACAGCTTCAGGAGGAGTTGGAGATTATCAATTTGAAAGTGAGCAAGCAAAACTAGAAAATCCCCCAACAAATTATATTTTTTTTGCAGATCTTCTGCCATTTGGCTATCGTCTTCCAACCGTCGGTCCGAATTGTCATCACGAGAAGATGGTCAAATCGTTGTTGTCGATGGGATTGCCGAATTCGAAGCCGCCGATTGTCGAAAATACGGATTGTTCGAATCCGAGATGCGCGGTGGATATGGATCGAATTGTGATTGAGGGGTCGTTGGTGCCACCGGTGAGATTTTGAAATCAGTAATTGAAATATGGTGGAGAAATCAACATTTTGAAGCTGAAATTGCACGAGATTTCAGCACTAGCCATCTAGGAAGCTTCAAAAACTGAAAATCATTGTGCAGTGATTCACGAAATAAAAAATCGTTTTTTTAATAATCTGAAAGTTATCAAATTTCTTGTCAAAAATTTGAATTTCGCAGCCATTTCCCCCTAATTTTCACCCAAAAAATTATGCGCCAAAACTGTTTTTTCAACGACTCAATTTTATTAATTTTATCAAAATTTCATTGAAACGGCTAATTTGATTTCACAGGATTTTTTCTGGAAATTGCGAATTTTTTGGTTCAAAGCTTGAGAAATTCGAGTTTTCATTGAGAGTTTGCAAATTTTCGAAGAATTCGGCTGAAATTTCAAAATCTATTCCGAATTTGATAATTTTCAGTGTCAGAAGCTGAAATTCACATTTTCTGGTGGAAAACCTTCAGAACTCCAAAAATCATCAATTTTTCGAATTTCACCTCTAAATCTGGGAAAATTTGTGATTTTTGGAGTTCTGGAGGTTAAAAGGAATAGAATGTTCTAGAATTCCACTAGAAAATGTGAATTTTAGATTCTGAAACTGAAAATTGACAAATTTTGAAATTCCCGCCAATTTCTTTGAAAATTCGCAAACTTTTAATGAAAAACACACCTCGGCCAAAATCGTCAAAATCGACAATGTTCCCCATATCAAAAAAACTTGGTTTCTATAAAAATATTTTTTGGTCGGAATGTGCCTTTGAAAGTCATTTTTAGGTCAAAAGGGTTTCACCACGGTGTTCCTCGTGTCGAAAAACCACTAATCTTCAAATTTCAAAAAAAAATGATTTTTCGTGTTTACTGCTTTTAAAAAACGAGTTTTGAGTCGAATGGTCAGCCCCACATAACTCCCCGTACCGAAAAACATCGAAACACAATTTTTCTAAAAAATTTTTTTTGAGTGATGGGGTCCTTTGAAAAAGATTTTCAGATAAAATAATTATCACCACATGATTTCCCATACTCGAAAACCCAAAAATCCCGATTTTCAGCCTATGAAACCGATTCCTCCACAATACGCAAAAAATAGGCTGCTGTATACATTATTGACTAAGTGAGTTTTAATTTTCTTTTTTGGGAATAAATTACAACCTCTTTCTGTAGGTACTGTATTTTATGCACTTTTCGGAATTTGCATGCTTCATTATCTTCTTTTTCATTTAGATCACTTTTAGTTTGGGTAATTTTTGGGAGAGAATTTTGAAACTTCGAGAAAATTCATTTTTCTAGTAAAAAATGAAGCAGATCTGTCGTTTTCGGGCAGCCGGGCCGGGCTGGTCCTTCTAAATTCAAAAAATGAGGACTATTTCGGCCCTCCGGCCCTTTTTTTTTACTACAGGCCCTTTTTCGGCCCTTCATAAATTTTTGATGACAATTCGGAATTTTTACAAATGGATGATTTTGCTCAAATTTTTGCATTTGGGCAAATTTCGTAAATCAGAACAACTTATATTGGTGTTATTGCACCAACATTTCTTCGAAGAACTGTTTTGGTGCAGGATCGTAATGGTGAAACACCATAATTTGAGAAAATTTTAGAACTGTATCAAATCCAGCATTAGATACACAAAATTCGACAATTTTCTTACGCCAAAATGCAAAAATTCGAAAGAGACACCATAAAAATAGTGAATTTACACAATAAAATGTGTAGGAAAAGCCGGGCTGAACCAGCCCATCTCTCACTATTCGGGCTGGCTAGGCCGGCCCTTCAAATGCTGGCCCGAGGGCCGCAAATAGCCGTAAAACGACAGGTCTGCAATGAAGTTTTTCTGGTCCCAAAATCTATGTTCCTTTAAAGGGGTTGTCTTTCTACCAGGCAAGATTAGCTAAATAGCTTGGGCTAACGTGCTTCTTGAACATTCCGTGTTCAGAAAAATTTATTGGTGCGCGCTTTTTGCGAAAAACACAAGCCGCTAAAACGTCAAAACTAGGAAAGAAAGCAAAAACCAGACTTTTGAAGAAATTATTTTTCTACCAAAAAATGTCTCCTCAAAAATCCAATATTTCCAGGACTGATGTGACGGCAGAGAACGAATACAAATTCATTTTGGATACATTTGTTTCTTTTATAATTGAGTGCATCAAAAGCGAGGGAGTCAACAAGAAGAAATTGATACAATCATTAAAACTTTGTTTGGAAACACAAGAAATAAGCAAGCATTTGTCTCCAAATTTGCGAGAAGGTTAGGAAATTTGAGATAGGGGGTTTAAAAATAGAAATCTGCTTTTGGATTTCTAGGCCAGAAAAATGCGATTTTTTCGAGTGTAAATATGTCTAGGTGGTCTAGAAATCCGGATTTGGGTTTCTAGGCCCTGAAAATTACGATTTTTTTGAGTCTAAATTCGCCTAGGTGGCCTAGAAATCTGCATTTGGGTTTCTAGGCCAAAAATTTGTGAATTTTTTAGTCTAAATTCGCCTAGGTGGCCTAGAAATCTGCATTTGGGTTTCTAGGCCAAAAATTTGTGATTTTTTGAGTCTAAATTCGCCTAGGTGGCCTAGAAATCTGCATTTGGGTTTCTAGGCCAAAAATTTGTGATTTTTTGAGTGTAAATTCGCCTAGGTGGCCTAGAAATCTGCATTTGGGTTTCTAGGCCAAAAATTTGTGATTTTTTGAGTGTAAATTCGCCTAGGTGGCCTATAAATCTGCTCTTGGATTTCTAGGCCCTGATTGCGGGTTTTCCAAACCTAAATACCTCAAGGTCCTATGCAAAGCATAACTTTGGTTTCCAAGCCCAAATTTTCCAGATGGCCTAGAATTTCCATTTGAATTTCTAGGCCATCAAAACCCTTTGAAAATCCAAAAACCCCCCTAATTTTACAGATATGTTGGAAGCCACTCAAGAATCGATTGATTTACCGGAACAGGTTGAGGTGTCTACCGGTGAGAACGGTAGACAGATTGCGTGAGTGCTTTTTTGTTTTGGGAGAAATTTGCGATTTTTTGAACCTAAATATGATTTATTTTGAAAAAAACTTTAAATTTGAAAAATTTGGCAGTTTTTGAGCCCAAACATGGGATTTTTTGGGAATTTTTGATTTTTCGTGAATTTTGGGATTTTTTGAACCTAAACATGATGTACGTATTTTTGGAAAAAAGTGGAATTTTTTGAATCAGAAAAAAACTTGATTTTTCATTGAAAAACTAAATTTAAATCTGAAAATTAAAAAGAAAATTGAAATTTTAAAAATTTGGGAGTTTTTTGAGCCCGAACATGATGTATTTTGAAAAATTGATTTTTTTGAGAAATTTCGAATTTTTTGAATCAGAAAAACTTGATTTTTCATTACAAATTTGAATTTTCAAGCTGAAAATTGAGAAGAAATTTCAAATTTAAAAAATTTGCTTTTTTTCGAGCCTGAAAATCAGATATTTTTGAGAAAATTTTTGATTCATTTGAAAATTTAAATTTTTCATAGCAAATTTTGAATTTTCAAGCTGAAATTTTAAAAGAAAATTCAAATTTGAAAATTTTGGCTATTTTTTGAGCCCAAGATATTTTTGGGAAAATTCAGAAAAACTTGATTTTTGATAACAAATTTGAAATTTCAAGCTCAAAATTAAGAAGAAAATTCAAATTCAAAAATGGGATTTTTCGAGCCTGAACATCAGATATTTTTGGGGAAATTTTTTGATTCATATGAAAATCTAAATTTAAGCCTGAAAATTGGGTTTTTGTCAAAATTCTGAACTTTCTGAAAAAAAAAATCCACCAGAAGATTTATCATAAACCTTAAAAAAATGCTTAAAAAATCTGAATTTCCAAATTTTTTCCAGAAGAGTTATCAAATCATCACAAGTGAAACATACGGTTCAAACGCAATCAATCCAAAACTACATTGTCGATGGAGATCAGGTTCCAGTTGGAGTTGTTGAAGTTGAACGAAGTCGCGAACAATTGACGCCGATTGGTCAACAAGGTTGGGAATTTTTGGGATTTTTTGGGGATTTCTGTGGAAAAAATCGTGATTTTTTGATATAAAATAGGAAAATTGATCAAAAATTCACCAAAACCCCTTGATTTTCCAGCCGGAACATCGGACAAAAATGGAATTGTTGAAACGCAAACCCGAACTATGACTTATGAAGCTGCGGCTTCGGAAGGTGGAGTTCCACCGCCAGGATGGGATGAACAAGTGAGCATTTTTTTTTGCAAAAAAAATTTCTTGAAATTTGAATTTTGCGCGAGTTTTCAGTGTTGAAATTCGGGATAAAATCAGAATTTTAAAGCAAAATCTTTGAAAAATTGTTGAAACGTAATTTTTCCGGGGAATTTTTTTAAAATTTTGAAACGTTTTTTTCCAAAATAATCGAAAAATTCAAGATTTTTCACAGAAAAAATCCAGAAATTTCAAAAAATTTATATTTTTAGGGTCTCGGTGAATATGTGTCGTCGAAAAGTGTAACGCAAGGAAATCGTACAATCGAGACGATCACCTACAAAACGGAAAAGGATGGAATCATCGAGACGCACGTCGAACATCGAGTCACAATTCATTCGGATGGAGATATTGATCATGATGCGGTGAGCGACGAAAAATTCGGGATTTTTTGAGTGTAAATATGTCTAGGTGGCCTAGAAATCCGGATTTGGGTTTCTAGGCCAGAAAAATGCGATTTTTTGAGTGTAAATTCGCCTAGGTGGCCTAGAAATCTGCTCTTGGATTTCTAGGCCCTGAAAATTGCGGTTTTTTGAATGTAAGTATGTCTAGTTGGCCTAGAAATCTGCTCTTGAATTTTTAGGCCAAAAATTTGTGACTGAAAATGCGGTTTTTTGAGTCTGAGTGGCCTAGAAATCTGCATTTGGGTTTCTAGGCCAGAAAATTTGTGATTTTTTGAGTCTAAATTCGCCCATATGGCCTAGAAATCTGCATTTGGGTTTCTAGGCCAAAAATTTGTGATTTTTTGAGTATAAATATGTCTAGGTGGCCTAGATATCCGGATTTGGGGTTCTAGGCCAGAAAAATGCGATTTTTTGAGCCTAAATTTGCCTAGGTGGACTAGAAATCTGCATTTGGATTTCTAGGCCCTGAAAATTGCGGTTTTTTAAGTCTAAATCCGCCCATGTGGCCTAGAAATCTGGTCTTGGATTTCTAGGCCGGAAATTTGTGATTTTTTGAGTGTAAATATGTCTAGGTGGCCTAGATATCCGGATTTGGGTTTCTAGGCCAAAAATTTGTGATTTTTTGAGTCTAAATTCGCCTAGGTGGCCTAGAAATCTGCTCTTGAATTTCTAGGCCAGAAAAATGCGGTTTTTTGAGTGTAAATATGTCTAGGTGGCCTAGAAATCTGCATTTGGGTTTCTAGGCCCTGAAAATTGCAAATTTTCTAACCTAAATACCTCAAGGTCCTATGGAAAGCATAACTTTTGGTTTTCAAGCCCAAATTTTCCAGATGGCCTAGAATTTCCATTTGAATTTCTAGGCCATCCGTTTAAAATTCAAAAAACCCCCAAATTTTACAGGAATTGAGTCAAGCAATTTTGGAAGCCACTCAAATGAACCCGGACATGGTTGTTGAGAAAATTGAAGTTCGTCAAGAATCGACCCAATAAACGAGAATCCCCCCTTCAAAAATGCATTCCTAACGTTATTTTTTTACCTTATTTTTTTCCTTATTTTTTCTTATAACTACATATAATATGGTGTTAAAACAACGGTCCCCCCTTATTTTTTTCCCCAAAAAAGTTGTGCCCCCCCGTTTTTTTTGAGCGTGTGGAAGAATTCCATCTGTGTGTAGATCTACCTATTGTAATTTAGCGAAAAACGAACGAAAATCCCGCTTTTTTTCCTATTTTTTCAAGCCAAGGAGGCTTCTCTAGAAAAATCACCGAATTTTGTTGTGAAGTTAATTAGTTGTGATGTGGTTGGTCCGGTTTGGTGTATTTTTGTAAAGTCCCCCTGGCTTCGCCCCATTTTTCTATCCCGGGCAAAACTTCTCGCAAAATCCAATATTTTTCCCCCTAGTTTTGTTAGGTCTCCACGATGTTTGAGTTTCCCCCGCCTCAATTTGGCACTATAAAACTTGAAAATTTCTCTGATTTTATAAGCTTTATGTGTGCGATTTTCATTTATTTAACCAACCACACGATTTTTCTTCTTTCTTTCTCTATTTTTTGACACCAAATAAATGCTTTTATCTTTTTTTTGGGAAAAATTGAAGGAAAATTACAGAAAATTTGATGTAAAATGTGCCAGGCTTGCATTTTCCCAAAGCTCCGCCCATTTTCAGACTGCAAATCCACCCGAAAACGCTGAAAATCACGAATTTCCAGCAAAAAAACAACATGCGCGGTCTCGTGTACTTCTCCCGGACAATGTGTGGCCTAGGCGCCGACAAAAAACTCGTCCCCCGAAATTTTTTCGAAAATTTTTTCGCAAAAAAAAAGATTTTCGAATTTTCACGTGAACGCCAACACTGAAACGTGATGATGACGATGGCAATTCCACGTCATTTGAAGTGGATTTCGGGCGGTGTAGATTAGAAATCAGTTCACAATCAGATTAGATTAGAAATCGTGAGTTTTTCAGAGCTTTTTGTTCTCAAAGAAATTTTTGTTGTTTTTTGCAGGAACAAAGAAGATGCAAGCGTTCGGCGATTCTTCATCAACCACCAACATTCCGCAAAAACTCGAAAAGTTCTTGACGCCACCGCAAACCGAAGACAAATACGGGCAGACGACGATCTCGATCTCATCGAGCTCGGCTCATTCGGAGCACAACACGCCGAGCTATATTGAATCGTTGAAAGAGGAGCGAAAACTATTGTCTAGTCACAGTGAATTGACGCATGTTTTCGATTTGATCGACAAGGAAATTAAGAGATTATCGAATGCGGAGCAAGTTGAAGCTGCTCAGGCCGCTGCTCAAGCTTCCAAGGACCCGTCGCTTCTCTCAAAAACCTTGCTCGTGCCTGTTGAACTCTATCCAAACTACAATTTCGTTGGGCGCATTTTGGGACCACGCGGAACCACTGCAAAGCAATTGGAAACTGCCACCGGCTGCAAAATCATTATTCATGGGCGAAAAGCGTCGGGAACCGGAAGTTCCGTCGCCACCGCGAATGAGCCATTGAGCGTTGAGTTGACGTGTTCGGCGAGTTTGCCGGATGCGGCCCAGAAGCTGGAGATGGGTGTCAGTGTGATTGAGGCGTTGTTGGTGCCACCGGTGAGGATTTTGAAGCGCTCCACCGAAATAAACACGCAACGCAGACCGCGCCGCGCTACAACACACACAAATTCAAATTCCCTCCCTTTTTTGTGTGTGTTGTGGCGCGGCGCGGTTTGCGTTGCGTGTTTATTTCGGTGGAGCGCGCGGAGATTTATTAGCCATCTAGAAAGCTTCATTGTCGAAATTGAAAAATGTGCAGAATTGAATTGGACTTCGTCAGTCGCGTGCGGTTGTGCGGCGCGGTCGGGAAAAAATGAATTATTGATTGTTTTTCGACCGCGCCGCACAGCCGCACGCGACTGACGAAGTCCAATTCAATTCTTCATTGGTTTTCATTTTTTACGGCGGCCACATTTTTCAATTTTGACAATATTAATTCACGAACGTTTTTTAACGTTAAAAACCCCAAAAAAGTGATTTGCGAACGGTATTTTTATTCATTTTGAATAAAGTGAAGCTAAAACGCATTTTAGTGTCCAGAAATGCTATTTTAAGATCTTCTAATCAGCCGAAAAGACAAATCAAGCCAAATTTTTCATTTTTGGGAAATGTGAGGCTTGATTTGTCTTTCAGACTGATTAGAACGTCTTAAAATAGCATTTCTGGACACTAAAATGCGTTTTAGCTTCATTTTATTCAATGTGTTAAGAAAATGGATAAAAATACCGTTCCTGAATCCTTTTTTCTGGTTTTTAACGTTAAAAAATGTTTTTTTTTCAGTTTTTGAAGCGTTCTAGCTCCAAAATCACCATTTTTCTAGGCTGATGGTCAAGACGAGTTGAAACGCCAACAATTGATGATTCTTGCCAATATGAATGGAACTTATCGTCCAAGATCAGCTGCAGCAATTGCAGCAGCCGCTGCGAATTCGACAGCTTCAGGAGGAGTTGGAGATTATCAATTTGAAAGTGAGCAAGGAAAACTCTAGAAAATCCCCCGAAACAAATTATATATTTTTCATTTTCAGATCTTCTTCCATTTGGCTATCGTCTTCCAACCGTCGGTCCGAATTGTCATCACGAAAAGATGGTCAAATCGTTGTTGTCGATGGGATTGCCGAATTCGAAGCCGCCGGTTGTCGAAAATACGGATTGTTCGAATCCGAGATGTGCGGTGTTTAGAAATTTGTTGGGAAATGAGGCGAATCATCATCAAAATGGATCATTGACGTAAGGAAACACGTCCTCGTGTGTCGTTGGACGCGTTGCGGTCACGCGCTGCGTGCTTTATTTGAAGCACGCAGTGCATGACCGCAACGCGTCCACGTCATAACTCATCATAAGAGTTGAGCTAACTTCTGAGAGCAGAATCTGACCAGAAGGTCAAAATGTGACAGAGAAAAAACAGCGGAAGCAAGTCCCTCGTAAATATTTCGAAAATGAATGAATGTCGGTGTGTGCGCGCGCGGTCGCGATGCGGTCGAAATAAAATCAATATCGCCAAATTTTCTCATTTTTCCTCGAAAATTTTGTTTTTTACACAAAATGGTCATTTTTTGTGAAAAAAACAAGATTTTTTGAGGGAAAAATGAGAAAAATTATTGATTTTATTTCGACCGCATCGCGACCGCGCGCGCACACACCGGCATTCATTGATTTTCGAAATATTTATGAGAGACTAGCTACCGCTGTCTGCTTGTCAGAAGTTAGCTCAACTCTGAAAATAAGCTATGACGTTGCGGTCATGCGCTACGTGCTTCAAATGCAAAAATGAAGCACGCAGCGCGTGACCGCAACGCGTTCAAAGACATTTGTGCTCTGAAATATTCAGAGTTAAGCTAAGTAGTTTTTGACATCTGAAGCCCTACGCTCTTCTAAAAACCTATCAAATTTTTGTTTCCAGAAAATTCGAAGATGTCTTAAATGCGATGCAATTGTATGAAGTTATCAATCGAATTCGAATCTCGGAAAGTTCGGCAAACTTTGGCCGAAAATTGAATGTACAAAGGAAATAGACCCCTAGTTTTTCTACCCAACCACCTAACCTCTCCTACCAAAAAATTCCCCTTATTTTTCTCTGTCTCTCTCCAATTTTCATGTGCTATTTCATGTTTTATGTATTTTCCAGCCCCCCAAATAAATCCACCCTGTAATTCCAGATTAATATATTTATTCTTTTTAGTGTTTGATTTTATTGCCTTGAAGAAATGATGATGAAGTTATGAATAATCGTATCTAGACTTGCAAAATTTTTGATTTTGGTAGATCAAATTGATTTTGACCGCCACCTTATTTTTCTTTGTTTGGAAGAAGAAAAAATCGATTTTTTTCGCATTTCTTGCTTTTTTTGGTGTGAAAAGGTGAGTTAGCCTAATAGATGATAGTACGATATTATTTTGGGAAAATGTCTCAATATTGCCTTGTTATAATGTTAATATTAACTTCCCAAAATTGAAAAGTGTCTGCCTCATCCAAAAAAAACACGCTATTTTGAAACAAACCCATCTCGAGGTGCGAAAATTTTATGAATGACGTGACAGGTGGCTTAGGGATTCAAAAACGATTGAACATTAGGTTGCAAAATTTACATTAGAACAGAAAAGAACCAGTGGGCGGGGCATGTCAGAGACACAGGGGCGCCTGCTACTGTAGCAAAAATGTCACTTTACGATGTGAAAATTGAAAACTAATTGTTGTAGACGTAGACTTTTCAGAATTAAAAGTTTCTTAAACAGTTTTCAGTCTAGAAACCGAATTTGTTTTTCGAATTCTCGAGAATAATTTCACACAAACGCATTTTTCAGGTTATAAGAATTATTCTATAACTTTCAATTTTTTTCATTGATTCTTTGACATGTCAAACTTGGCGCCAAAAGATTCGCTTTCGCATAAAACGGAAAGGCTGCATAATTTCCAATGAATCCGAGCAATAACATTGGGTGAGCATATCCAGTTCCATGGAACTTGTTGTTGATTTTTTAACAGGAACTTGTTGTTGATTTCTTCGAATTTTCAGATTATTTCCACTGTCTTGAATGTTGAATAGTCGCCTTCAAATGTTCCCTCATGAGGAATTCAGCGGTAGCTTGAGCATTCGTGTTCCACTTGAGTCATCGAATTTCGTAAAATGATATCTTCTCTGGATTTTGAGCCAGATTCAAACAGATTTTCCGAATCTCTGAACATTAGTTACAAAATTTCAAAATTTGAAAAAACAGTGACATACCGTGTAAAATGGCTTGAAAATGCATAAGTACTGTAGCTTGTATCTAATGTTTAAGAAGCTTTCTGAAATCCTTCGACGATTGTACTAATTACAACATGCTCTTTCAAATTGGCATAAACTTATTTTTTGCTCGCACTCCACCTTTAAATAAACCGCTCTCTACTTTTTTTTGTACATGTTTTCCTTGCCAAACTCCAATTGACTTCCTATAAATTGTTCCCAAGCCAAAAAATGGGCGGAGCTTAAAAGGTGTAAAAAATAGGAAAGAAAAAACAACGCTCCTAAATACTTTTTATTAATCATATAATAATTAGAACCTGCTAGATTCTCTGTTTCTCATTATTTTTGTTGCTGGAAAAATGGTGCTACTCAAGTTTAAAAATCAAAGCGATTATGAATTTGACTACGAAAATGTTGGGAAGATATTTTTCTTTGATTGGAAGCAAATCGAAAATCCGGTGAGTTGTTTCAAAATCGTATTTTTTCGTGGCTATCAAGATTTGCCACGTCATAGCTAATATTACTCACGACACAATCTTTTTATTTGCTAAATTCCAATCAAAACCTACGTTTCTTGCAGTTCGATATTCTTCCAATGGAAATGAAAATGATGATTTTCATATATTTGGATCCGGAAGATATAACTCAATTTGGAAAATGCTCAAAAAGTTGTCAAGAATTATTCAAATTATTGCGACCAAAAATCAAAAGTGTATATTATCGAGGAAATATAGAAATGAGCCAAGAATGTTATCTACGAATCCAATTTCATAAATATCCGACGAAAATATACCAAATAGAATTGGAAACAATCAATTCGAAAAAATTATCGAGAAGAAATAGGATGATTGAATGTAATGGAATAATCGTCGAAACTATTGGATCGAAAAAATCAAATACGAAAGGATGCAGATCCAGTATTTTACTCACAAAGTTAGTTTTTTGTTTAAAATTTAGTTTGATCAAATAATGAACGTGTTTGGAATTTTTACTAAAAAGTTATGACGTCACAAATCTCAAACCTTAAAGACACGTAGAAAGCTAGAAATCGTTCAAAAATCATTATTTGCATATTTTATATCATCCTTCAAACAGTACATAAACAAAATTGAAAAATATTCGGTTAAGCGAAAGTCAAAAAAAGAAATCGGCTTTTTTGAAATCGCTCAGCCGACGCGAAATTGGTGTTTGCACAAATGTTCGTAATTTGACGCACATGTGTGCATTCTTAGCATACCGTACCACCACTTTTTATTTATTTTTTGAAAAACGGCGCGCGTTCAAATTTTTACGATTGCGAGCACACATTTCTAGTTTTTTACGTGTCTTTGAGAAAGAACAAAAAAATTAGAAGTGTGTTTTTTTTTGCTGAGACACATAGAAAAAATAAAACATGTTTTTTTTTCACGTGAAATTGCGGACTGATTGCTTTGACCGCATGAAGCTAATTTGCAATTTTGCACTTTCAAAATTTCAATGGAAAAAAGAACGAAATTGCTTTGACACGCGGAAAAACGTGAAAATGACATGGGCTTTCGAGTCTGCAAACACCGCTTCTATTTTTTCTATGTGCTGAGTCCACCTTCGGATTTCGAATCAAGATATCATCACAGTTCGATTCCAGCGGAAGGAATTCATATTTTCAGATTCACAATAACACCACTATCAAGATATCAAGATACGAAACTACTATTACATCGAACAAATCCAAAACATCTTCAAATTAATGCTTTTGAAATATTCAAAAATATAATTGAATTTAACAAATCATCGATTGATGAAATTACAATTGAAGTAAATAGTATTGAATCAATTTACATGAGAGCGATCGATATTTATTCGGAAAACTTGAAAATATTGCAAATCGATGGAAATTTCACAAATCATCCACAATTGAATCAATTTCTCTCAATTGAATTTGTTAGCATGAAAAATTTCAAAATTAGCTCGCAACATCTTCCAATGATAAAATCAAAAGATCTTGTGTTGCACAAAACAGTTATGGACCAAACATTGTATAACGAGGTTTTGACAAAATGGAGAGATGGTTTGATGGAAAATTTGAGAAAAGTTACGATGTTTGGAGATGATGATTGGTTTCATGATTTGTTTGTTGATAATACGATTCTTAGAGTTGTGATGAATGAATATGGAGAGATAGTACAGAGGTGAGTTGATAGAATTCCAAAAACTTCTGAAGTACTCGATCGAGTCACTTTTTCAAAAACGCCGTAAGATTCAACAAAAAAATCTTCATATTTTTGCAGCAGTATTGATGAAATAAGATGTGAAGTTGTTGGCTCGCCATCAGTAGATTTTAATATCAAAGGAGTTTTGCTTGATCAGAATCATCATTGGCCTGTTCGAATGTATCTGAAACGAGACGATTTTTAACAATTCTCTTTTCTTATCGTTTTCTTCATCTTTTTGTTAACTTAAAAAATATAAATAAACTTTTTGAAAAAAATTCAAAAAATGCATCTACCAAAAATTAAGGATTTATATTTGAGGATTATTCAGGTTGAATATAATAGCCACGTGGATTTTTGATTTTAGAAAAAACCTTGAAATTTATTTATTTATGAAAATTATTTATGAAAATTTGAGGGAATTCAAAGATGTCTTGAAGATTTCTGAATTTTGCAAAGATTTTTAAACAAAAAAAAATCATATAAAATTTGGAGCTACAGTAACCCTTGTATTTCGCAAAAACTCTAAGCCATTCAGAGCTACAGTAATCTTACAGCTCTAGTAACAAAATACAGAACTGCCGTAATTTTTGCAGTTCAAAAAATCCTTGAAATTTTAGATCTGCAGTAAACTTTGCAGTTCCAAAATTCAGAGCTACAGTAATCCTTGCTATTTGAAAAAAATCCGGTAAAATCCAGAGCTACAGTAACTCTTGCTTTTTAGTGTTTGATTTTATTGCCTTGAAGAAATGATGAAGTTTTGAATAATCTCGCAAAAATTTATTGAAAATTGGAAGATCAAATTGATTTTGACCGCCAACTTTTTTTTGTTTTTTTTTTTTTTTGGAAGAGGAAAAAATCGATTTTTTCTCGCATTTCTTGTTTTGTTTTGGTGTGAAAAGGTGAGTTAGCCTAATTTCTTGGGATTTTTTATTGATTTTTTGTGAATTTCAGATTTCGAAGATGGGAATGGTGAGAGCAATGCTGGAAAATGACGGTTTTGGTGAGATTTTGGGTGGGGTTTCGAAAAAAAAAATGCTTTTTCATTTCACGAATGTCGATGAACGCGTTGCGGTCAGTGCGCTGCGTGTTTTGAGTCAAAATGAATTTCGAAACACGCAGCGCTTGACCGCAACGCGTCTAACGAGATTTGTGGGATGAATTATCGAAAATCTCACGCGCTCCACTGAAATAAACACGCAACGCAGACCGCGCCGCGCCAAAACACACACAAATAAGGGTGTGTTGTGGCGCGGCGCGGTCTGCGTTGCGTGTTTATTTCGGTGGAGCGCGCAAACAGCAATGTTGCTCTATTGAACAAATGCGACTATTTGACATTTTTAAAACTCAAAGTAGAAATTGGACGCGTTGCGGTCAAGCGCTGCGTGTTTCATAAATTTCGAAACACGCAGCGCTTGACCGCAACGCGTCCAACGACATTTGTATGTTAATTCTTGCATAAAACAGCAAAGTTGAACATATTTTTCAAAATGTAAATAATTTATTTGTTCTCAAATAATCGATTAATCAGTAGAAATCATTCGAAACAAAGAAAATCCTCCATTAATTTTCTCATCAGGTTTCGCCAAAATAATCAAATGAAAATCCTGCGAATAAATCTCCAAAATGCCCGATTTCTGAAAACTCGAAAATAATTTCTGCGTTTTCGCAGCCTCTGGTTTTTTTGTTGCCCGCAAAAATGTGGAATCCACAAATTTTTGACGCAATAAATAGCGGCCATTGGGAAATATGAAAATGAAGGTTGGATGGACGATTGACGCGTTTTTTGCAGCGCGATGAGCTGATAATTGCTGACGGAAGATTTCGGTGGCTTTTGAGGGGGAGAGGATTTGTTGAGATGAGAGAATTTGAAGAATTGAGAGGAGAATTAGAGAAATATGCATTTTTTGGGGGGAGAAAATAGGGAAAATGATGGAAAATTGGAAATTTAGGGAAAATTTTTGATGATTCGATTATTTATTGATTTTTTTTTTGGAAAAATTCAGAAAAATTTGAAAAAAAATTCCGGAAAATTATACGTTTCATGAAAATGTTCTAATTTCAAAAAATTTTGTTAAAATTCAAAAATTTTGAATTTTAACAATTTTCAAATCAATTTTTTTCAAATTTCAAATTTCATCTCAAAAAATGATCTAAAAAATTTCGAAAATTCACAAAACTTTAGATTTCCTAAAAAAAATAATTTAAATTTTTCTGCGATTTCAGATTTCCCTCGAAAATTTTGAAAATTTGGGATTTTTTTTGAATTTTAACAATTTCTAAATCAATTTTTTTTCAAAAATGAGAATTTTCCAAGAAAATTTCAATTTTTTTTCAGATCTCTCAACTTGGAAGAAGTCTTGGACCCCCCCCGCTCAGCTCACACATTTTTTTTGGTTCGATTTTTGAGGTTAGTTATTTTTGGGTATCATTTTAGTGTAAAAACAAACAAAGTTACATAATCCACGTGGCAAGTGCCGCAAAAAGAAGTGTGTGGATTAGAAGATTGTGTAAGTATGTAATCTTGGTTGGTTTGCCACGTGGCAACAAAAAAGTGATGGTTTTTTTAAATTTGTGCCAAAACCAGAAAAATTTTGTTCAAGAAAAAAAAAATATTTTTTGAATTTTGAAATTTCACACCTGGAAAATCCTAATTTTAGCTACCAAAAAATTCAGTTTTTGAAAATGAAATTCATTTTCAGAAAAATTAAAATTTGAGAATTTTTAATTGAATTTCAGACGTGAAGTTCTGATTTTTCTAAAAAAATTAAAATTTGAGAATTTTTAATTGAATTTCAGACGTGAAGTTCTGATTTTTCTAAAAAAAAATTAAAATTCAGAAAATGTCAAAAAACTGTATTTTTTTCCACACAAAAATGAAAAAAATGAAAAAAATAGGAAAAATATAATTTTTTGACATTTTCTGAATCGAAATTTTTTTTTCGACTTGAATTAGATTTTTGGACAAAATCAGAACTTCACATCTGAAATTTAATTCTAAAAATTCTCGAAATTTTAATTTTTCTGAAAATGGATTTCATAAAAATTCACGTCTTAAATTAATTTTTCATTAAAATTTTCAAAAACTGAATTTCTGGTAGTTAAAATTAGGATTTTTTCAGCGCGAAACTTTTGAAATTCAAAAAAAATATTTTTTTCTTAAACAAAATTTTGCCACGTGGATTTTTCAGACAAAATTATGAAAACCTGAAATTTCATAAGGATTTTTTTCGAAAACATTTTTCGGGAAAAAATTAATTTTAAAAATTTTCTAATTAATAAAAAATTCCTATTAGAAAAAAGCTGAAATTCATTCTAAAAATTTGGATTTTTCTCACAAAAAAATTCGATTCAAAAAATTTTTTCGACTTGAATCAGCCCAGAAAAAAAAGGTTATCCTAACTTCCCAAAAGCGCCAAACCACGCTCGCGGTGCACAAAAAGAAAACACGGCCTATCATAAAAAATCATAGGCAAAGTGCTCTTGTCCAACTTCCGAAACGACATTTTTATTGTAGCCAGGGTGAGCGGAAAAATGATTTACAGGTAGTCAACAAGTTAGCCTATGTTATGGTTAATTTTTTGGATTTTTGGATTGCCACGTGGATTTTTTGAAGGAAGAAAATCTGTTAATTTTTCAAAAAACCCGAATTTTTCATGGGATTTTTTAGCTGAAAATTGCAGAATTGCCACGTGTCTATGAAAATCCACTCAATTTTTAATTTTCAAAATTGAGTTTTGATAAGTCTAAGTCTGGATAGAAAATAATCCCCCACACAAATCTTCTAGGATTTACTTTTTAATTCCGAAAATATACCTTTTTATATGTTAGCCTAACTATTTTTGATAGAAAATTTGAAAATTTGAAATTAATTTTTTAATTTTAAAATCATATTAAAAATATTCTGATTTTCCACGTGGCAATTTTAAAATTTCGAAATTTCAAAAATCCAAAAAAAAAATTTTGAACTTAAATTTTCTGAACCTCGATTTTTTTTTCAAAATTCAAAAATCCACGTGGCTAATTTTTAGTGAAAAAATTTTGAACTTAAATTTTCTGAACCTTTAAAAATCTTTTCAAAATTCAAAAATCCACGTGGCTAATTTTCAGTGAAAAAATTGTGAATTTAAATTTTCTGAACCTCGAAGTTTTTTTCAAAATTCAAAAATCCACGTGGCTAATTCTCTATGTGTTTTTTTCACCCTTTTGGTGACCTACAATTTGTCAGCGACCTGAAAAAACATTGTGACACCCACCAAAAACACATGTGTGTCTGTTTTTTTGGCCAAAAGTGTGTGCTCTGCGGTTTTTTTTCACTTTTTTTGTTTGATTTTGAATTTTTGCCGACAATTTCCGGGTTTTTATGGGATTTGAATTGGCGCCAGCAAAATATTCTATTTTTTTTGGTGCAATTTTTTTTGAGTGTGGATTACTGTAGGCCTATTTTTAAATTTAATTTTGGGTTTCAAAACATTTCCAAGGATTACTGTAGGCCCAAAAAATAATTTTTCCCGAAGATTTTGTGAAATTTGATTACTGTAGCTCTAGAGTTTTTCCACGTGGCACAATTTTTTGAAAAGAAATTTGAGATTTTCAAAAAAAAATGAGATTACTGTAGCTCTAGAGTTTTGCCACGTGGCACAATTTTTTATTTGAATTTTGAGATTTTCAAAAAAAAAATAAGATTACTGTAGATTTTTCCACGTGGCACAATTTTTTGAATTTTTTTGTGCAAAAATGAGATTACTGTAGGTCAATTTTTGCCACGTGGCACAATTTTTTTGAAAAATAAGATTACTGTAGGTCAATTTTTCCACGTGGCACAATTTTTTTCGAATTTTTTTTGGCGCCAAACTTTTTTATGTCTCAACATCTTTAACACATCACATTAGATCACCACACAAAAATTTTTGCTCGTAAATTTTTTTTTTTTTTTCGGGGCTCCAAATTGTCTTTATGTGTGTTATGTTTTACAACCGCTCCCCGCAAAACTACAGTATACCACAATTTTTTAAGCCACGCCCACTTTTTGTGCTCTTTTTAGCCACGCCCCTTTTTTGGACCATTTTATTTTTTTTTTGCTCCAGAATCCAATAGTATTCATTTTGAGAGATGGAAAACTTCGAAATTCCACCGTATCCGATTTTGTCGACGCCGGATTTGTTGAATTTTTCGCGGCACGTTTTTGAGATGATTCAGGTGAGCCACTTTTTTTTTTGAAAAAAAATTATTGAATTTTAAATTTGCATTTTTTTGAGACCAAATATGACCGGGTTACGGTGATTTAAAGGGAGCTACAGTATACCTTGCAGTTCTGTTTAATTATTTGAAAGGAGCTACAGTATACCTTTCAGTTCTGCATAAGTATTTAAAGGGAGGTACAGTATACCTTGCAGTTTTGTTTAATTATTCAAAGGGAGGTACAGTATACCAAAAAAATCTGAAATTTCTCAAATTTTCCAGAAAAAATACAACACTCCGGGCCGAATTCTACCCGTTCCGCTTCTTTCCGCAACCCCTTCCGCAACCCCTTCCGCTTCCGCCTCCTTTTCTCCGTCAACAAGTAGTAGCGGCGGAACCTACAGTACCCACAGTAGTCCGAATTCACCCGACAACAAGAAGAGCCCAGTGGTGAGTTTTTTTTGTTAGACCGCAAGCTTCCGCGCGGAAGCTTGCGGAATGCGGAACATATTTTTGCAGACGTGTAAATGTGCGATTTGTGGCAAAAAATTCAGCCGGCAATGGTTGCTGCAGGGACATTTGAGAACGCATAGTAAGTGATTTTTTGGCTGAAAATTTTTGGCTGAAAATTTTTCTGAAATCTGAAATTCAATTTTCAGCCGGCGAAAAACCGTTTCAATGTGAGATTTGTGAGAAGCGATTTGCGGACAAAAGTAATTTGCGAGCACATATTCAGACGCATTCTGGTGAGTTTTTTTCATGGCCTAGAAATCCAAATTCAATTTTTTTTGGTTTTCTAGGCCATGTGGATTTCTAGCCGTGAAAATTGCGATTTTTTGAAACTAAATATGACAGGTTTCTGACCAAAATTCATATGGCCTAGAAATCCAAATTCGAATTTTTTTTCGGTTTTCTAGGTCATGTGAATTTAGGTCAGAAACCTGTCATATTTAGATTCAAAAAATCGCAATTTCCACGGCTAAAAATCCACATGGCCTAGAAAACCAAAAAAAAATTGAATTTGGATTTCTAGGCCATATGAATTTCTAGCCGTGAAAATTGCGATTTTTTGAATCCAAATATGACAGGTTTCTGACCGAAATTAATGTGGCCTAGAAATCCAAATCCAAATTCGAATTTTTTTGGTTTTCTAGGCCATGTGGATTTTTAGCCGTGAAAATTGCGATTTTTTGAATATAAATATGACAGGTTTCTGACCAAAATTCATGTGGCCTAGAAACCCAAATTCAATTTTTTTTGGTTTTCTAGGCCATGTGGATTTTTAGCCATGAAAATTGCGATTTTTTAAATTTAAATATGACAGGTTTCTGACCTAAACTCACGTGGCCTAGAAATCCAAATTCGAATTTTTTTTGGTTTTCTAGGCCATGTGGATTTCTAGGCGTGAAAATTGCGATTTTTTGAATCTAAATATGCCTGATCAAATCCCCGTGGCCTAGAAATCCAAATTCAATTTTTTTTTTGATTTTCTAGGCCATGTAGATTTCTGAGCTTGCAAAATGCGATTTTTTGAACCTAAATATGACAGGTTTCTGATCTAAATTCATGTGGCCTAGAAATCCAAATATGAATATTTTTTGGTTTTCTAGGCCATGTGAATTTAGGTCAGAAACCTGTCATTCATTAGATTCAAAAAATCGCAATTTTCACGGCTAAAAATCCACGTGGCCTAGAAATCCAAATATGAATTTTTTTTTGGTTTTCTAGGCCATATGAATTTTGAAATTTTAGAAATCCAAATTCAATTTTTTTTCGGTTTTCTAGGCCACCTGGATTTTTAGCGCGTAATTTTCACGTTTTTCGGCTACAATTTTGCCTGATAACATCCACGTGGCCTAGAAATCCAAATTCAAATTTTTTTTGGTTTTCTAGGCCACCACCCCCTTTATTTTCTTCGGCCATAAAACGGTGCCAAATTGTCGTGATTTATTGATTTATTTATACATTTTTGACACATGTGAGTGTGTAAAAAACATGTGTGCGCGAAAAAAGTTTTTTTTTTTTTTTTTTGCCACGTGGCAATTCAAATTTTAAAATTTCTAATTTTTTCAGGCGAAAAACCCTTTAAATGTTCGAGATGTGGAAAACAATTTGCACTGAAATCGTATTTATCGAAACACGAGGAGTCGAAATGTTTAAGACGATTTTTTGTCTGAAAATTTGTCTGAAAATATTTTTTTTTTCAAAAAATAGTTAGTGCTTTCAATAAACAAGTTTCAGTATAACATGAGCAATTCAATTCTACAACAGAAAAAAACAAAAAAAAATTTTTCACTGAACATCACCCATAAGATCGACTAGTGAGGAAGGAACGCTGAAAATTTCAGATTTTTTCTGAAAAAATTTGAAAAAAATCCGCACTTACAACATTTTTAGGCCTGCTGAACTGCCGTTTCGACGCATTATGTTCTTCTCGTCGGAATGTAAATCGGGTAGACTTTCGTCGGAGAGACGGGTTTGAGATAGTCTGAAAATTTCAGATTTTTTATCCTCGCTAGCCAAAGAAAAAACGCGCGCACGCGCGCTATTTTTATATGCAATTTCCTCCCCTCTTCCCCATGCGCCCTTATAGCTCAGTGGTAGAGCGTTGGTCTTGTAAACCAAAGGTCCGTAGTTCGATCCTGCGTGAGGGCAGACCTTTTTTTTTTTTTTTTTTTTAACTCACTTTTTGAAAAGTAGAGCTTGTGAACTGTCGGAGGGTAGAAGGACAACTCCGGTTTTGACGTCGGGCAGGCAGTCGAAAATGATGCAGCAGAGAAGAGTGCATTTTTCTGGAAATTTTTGGAATTTAAAAATTTTCCAAGGAAAATCTTACGATTTAAGGTCAGCACCCAAAGCGGTAAATTTGAATTGTAGATGAAAAAGTAGTACAAAACGAAGCCGAATAGGAGAATAGCGATGGCTAGAGCAGTTACGGCAAATTCTTGGAAAATCGGGATCACTACAAGCGCCACTGTGGCAGCCAGGAATAGGTAAATGAAGATGATGGGAACTCGAACCGCTTCGGGGTGAACTGGAATATTTCGATAGCGGATTAGGAGAAGAGCGACGAGACTGAAGATGCGTTGAGCCCAGAAACCGAACATGACGTAGCCGATTAGGGTGTCGAGATCGCCGATGTAGGAGATGAGCATCGCGAGGACACTCTGTGAAGCAGAAAAATTTTTTTTGGAAAATTTTTGGAAAATTAATCCACGTGTTTTCAAAAAAATCCGTCCTTTATGGAGTTGCAACAAAAAATAATTTTAAAAAATTTTGTAAAAATTTTTTTTTTTTCGACTTGAAAAAATTAAAATCAAATTCTAGAGAAAAAATGAATGAAATTTTCATGTGTGAAAAAATTTTTGCGAAATTTTTTGTCCAAAAATCCACGTGGCAGTGTGATTTTTTTCCAGATTTTTTTCTCGAAATTCTAGAATTCCACGTGGCAGCGATTCGAAAATTTTTGGTCCAATTTTCATAAAAAGTGATGTTTAGAATTCGAATTTTGAAAAAAATTTCGAAATTTTTTTGATGAAAATTGGAAAATCTCTGCCACGTGGAATTCGATTTAATTTCTAGAAAAAAAAAATCTGAAAAAAATCACTGCCACGTGGATTTTTTGAGAAACACACCTACGAGACCTGTAAAATCTACAGTAATCTAAAAAATTTTGGGAAGATTTTTGTCAGAGCTAAATATCAATAAATTAGGGCCCCACTGAAAGCTCTACAGTAACCCGGAGGTGGATTTTTGGCGCCAAAAAAAATTGAATTTGAAAAATTTTTTTTGACAAAAAATTTCGATTCAGAAAATGTCAAAAAATTATATTTTTTCCTATTTTTGATATTTTTTTCTGAAAATGAATTTCATAAAAATTCACGTCTTAAATTAATTTTTTTTGAAATTCTGGTAGTTAAAATTAGAATTTTTTCAGCGCGAAACTTTCAAAATTTGAAAAAGTTAGATTTTTGGCCCTAAAATTTCAGACTCGCTGGAAAAAATCCAAATTTTTTGAAATTTTTAAGCAAAAAATATAACTTTTTCAAATTTTAAAAGTTTCGCCCTGAAAAAATCCACGTGGCTAATTTTAACTTTCATTTTTCAGTTTTTGAAAAAAAATTAATTTTAAATTTTTCAAAATTAAAAATAAAAAAAAAAAAAAAAAAAAATCCACGTGGATTTTCAAGATTTCTAAAAAAAAATCTAAAATTTTCTAGTATTTTTTCGGGCATTTTTTTGAAAATCTGATTTTTTTTACCAAAAAAAAATCTCGAATTACTGATTCTATTTTGAAATTTGGACCATATTTTGCTAAAGAATCAAAAAAATTTCAAAAAAAAAAATCCACGTGGATTTTCAAAATTTCTAAAAAAAAAATCTAAAATTTTCAGCCTCCCATCCCAAAAACAAAACGAACCTGCGCAAAAACCGCAACCCTCGGCGAATCGGTCAACGTATTGACACAAGAAAAACAGGCGGGAAGATGTCCTTGCCGTGCAGCCGCATACATATATCGACTTCCCCGAAAATAGATTGGAGTTGAGTGAGCCGATGAGGAGAATACCGATGAGAAATGGAATGATGTTGGCGAAATCGCCGAGTGTCTCACGAGCAAAGATCTGTGGAAGTTAGTTTATTTATGGGTTTGGGGGGAAAAAGAAAAAAAGTTTGCCTCGATGCGGGATCGAACCCGTGACCTAAAATTTGTGAGGCACGCGTGTTTACCACTAGGACACGCGCGCTTTGTTTTTATTGCCCGCAAATGTTTGATATAAGATTTTCGGGGAAAAAAATGTATTTGAACATTTTTTTTTCCAAAAAAAAATTATAGAATTTTTAGCTGAAGAATATTTTCACTGAAAAAAAGTTCAGAAAATTCGAATTTGATCTTTGGAATTTGTGTGAAACGTATTTTAATCGAGCAAAAAAATAACTTTTTAGGCTAATTTTTTGGTGAAAAATTCTGAAATTTATGAGTTTTTTCCGGGAACTTAGATTTTTTTTTTGAATTTTGTCAAAAAACTATATTTTCCCCTATTTTTTGACATTTTTTCCACACAAAAATGAAAAAAAATGTCAAAAATTAGAGGATTTTTGGATTTAAGGAAAATTCAAAACAATTACAACTACAGTACTCCTCTTGTTGCCACGTGGAACTTTTCAAGATTTTTTTTTAAAAATTCAATTCTGCCACGTGGATTCCTAGATTTTTGAGTCTCAAGAGCTAATTTTTTTATTTTTCAAAAAAAAATCACAAAGCTTATTAAGCTTAAAATTTCACAAAACTACAGTACTCTCGAAGCTACAGTACCCATAGATTTTGTGCCACGTGGAATTTTTACAGTACTTATTTTAGCACAAAATTTTTTTTTGAAAAATTTGAAAATTAGAAATTTTTTGAATTTGAGGAAAATTCAAAACAATTACAGCTACAGTACTCCTGGAACTTTTTTAGAAATTTTTTTTGAAATTCAATTTTGCCACGTGGAATTCTCTTTCCACGTGGCAAAATCCGAGCGCCTGTGGCGCGAGTGTAGATCAAAATTCCCCGCGTAAGCGGTTCGAGCGAAGCGAGTGTATGTCTTTTTGAATTACTGTAGCCTTAAATTATCTGCTACAGTAATCTAAAGGGACATACACTCGCTCCGCTCGAGCCGCTTGCGCGGAATCTTGATCTACACTCGCGCCACAGGCGCTCGGGAATACTGTAGATGCACTTTAAAGGAACATACAGTATCCCGAGCGCCTTTGGCGCGAGTGTAGATCAAAATTCCGCGTAAGCGGCTCGAGCGAAGCGAGTGTATGTCCCTTTGGATTACTGTAGCTTTAAATTATCTGCTACAGTAATCTAAAGGACATACACTCGCGCCACAGGCGCTCGAGAATACTGTAGATCACTCAAAGGAACATACAGTATCCCGAGCGCCTTTGGCGCGAGTGTAGATCGAGCGAAGCGAGTGTATGTCCCTTTAAATTACTGTAGGAACATACACGTGGATTTCTAGATTTTTGAAAATTAGAATCTCACCGCTGCAACAGCATCCGAACTTTTGACAGTATCCACATCTAACACCACAAAATACGCCACATTAATCGCCACATAAACCGCCGTCACAATTCCAATTCCTGACATCAGCGCCAACGGCACATTCTTTTTGGGTTTTGCGATCTCACCAGTACTGTAATTCAACACATCCCACCCGCTGAACGCCCACAATCCACCATAGGTTCCCATTATCAATCGACCCGTCTCGTAGTTCGAACCCTGCATCGGTCTCTTTAGATATCCGGTCCAACCTTTGAAGAAGTAGAAGTAGAATCCGGTGGCGATGATCAGGAAGCAGCTGAGAAGTTTGGCGACTGTGGCGATGATTTGGAAGCGTGCCGCGAATTTTGAGAGCGAGAAGAAGTTCATCCAGGTGACCAGCACTGGAAAATTGAATTTTTGAGCCCCAGGATTACTGTAGATATACAAGCGCCTTTAAATTCTGATCATTTTGAGACCAAATATGAGTAGGCTTGATTGGGTACTGTAGATTTTTTTACTAGGTAATTTGCATCTAGATTTGGTTGCCACGTGGATTTTTCTGACGTCATTTTTGAGCCCTAGGATTACTGTAGCTACAAGCGCGCCTTTAAATTCTGATAATTTTGAGATCAAATATGGATGAACTTGGGTACTGTAGATTTTTTTTTGGCGCGCGAAAAAAATACGTTTCAAAAATTTGTGAAAGGAAATTGTTGAGATTGACGAAATGCTATGGCGTCACATTTCAATTGAGTTTAAAAATAACTACAGTAATCCTAGGATTACTGTAGCTACAAGCGCCTTTAAATTCTGATCATTTCGAGATCAAATATGAATAAATTTGGGTACTGTAGATTTTTTTTGGCGCGCGAAAAAATACGTTTCAAAAATTTGTGAAAGGAAATTGTTGAGATTCATAAAATGTTATGGCGTCACATTTCAATTGAGTATAAAAATAACTACAGTAATCCTAGGATTACTGTAGCTACAAGCGCGCCTTTAAATTCTGATCATTTTGAGATCAAATATGAGTGGGCTTGGCCCAAGCCGCTTGGGTACTGTAGATTTTTTTTCTGGCGCCGAAAAAAATACGTTTTAAAAAATTTGTGAAAAAACATTATGGAGCCATAATTCAATTCAGTTTACTGTAAAATAACTACAGTAACCCTAGGATTACTGTAGCTACACGCGCGCCTTTGAATTCTGAGACCAAATGTGGTACTGTAGACTACGGTAGCCTCCCAAAAAACACTCACTCAACAATGAAAATCCGAACAATTTCTGACAAATCGGTACCCAATCCTCATCTATATCGTAGTACTGTAAGAAAATGTGTGTATTGTATTGGGGTACTGTAGGTTGACTACTGTAGCAAAACTACAGTACTCACCTGCTTCAAGCCCTCCATCAAATATTGGCCAAAAGTTTCGGAGCAAATTGCAATTGTGGCCGGGTAGGTCATCAGAACTGACACCCACATGAAGGCGAACGCCACTGAGTACCTGAAATTAAAGATTCTAGAGCTACAGTACACCTACAGTACTCCCACGTGGAATATTTTTTTGAAAATTTAATTTTGCCACGTGGATTTCTATATTTTTGAGCCTCAAAATTTTCAGAGAAAATTTATTTTTCAAAAAAAAAATTCACAAAGGTTTGAAGCTACAGTACCCATAGATTTTTGATTTTTACAGTACTTATTTTAGCACAAAATTTTTTTTTGAAAAATTTTGAAAATTTGAAATTTTTTGGATTTTCGGAAAATTCAAAAACAACAGATACAGTACTCTCTTTTTGCCACGTGGAATTTAGAATTTTTTGAAATTCAATTTTGCCATGTGGAATTTCTATACAGATTTTTGAGCCTCAAAATTCATCAGAGCAAAATTTATTTTCAAAAAAAAACTACAGTAATCTCAAAGCTACAGTAGATTTTTGCCACGTGGAATTTTTATGAAGCCAAAAATTTCCTGAGCTACAGTACTTATTTTAGCACAAATTTTTTTTGTTCAAAAAAAGAATTTAAAAAAACGAAGCCACGTGGAAAAAAATAGAAAAAATAAATACAGTTCTCAAATAAAAAACCGTCTACAGTAACCGTCTACAGTAACCTACAGTAACCCCCAACACTCACCATTTAACATAACAAATATAGGCAAAATCACAACCGGCTTCTCGAATCGAAGTTCCCAATTCAATATAACAAATTGCGCCCAAAATTGCGATTATTGCGCATAAAATCCAAATTTCTAGACTCAGTCCAATACTGTCTACGTTTCTGCAAAAAAATTATTGATTTTTATGGAATTTAAATTTGAATTTTAAAAAAGTTTGGCTAAATTCTATTAAGATTTCAGAAAATTTCAAAATAAAGCCACGTGGATTTTTTTTCAGAAAAATTTCATATTCAAAATTGAAAAAAAAAATTTTTTTCATTTTCAAATTTTCAAAAATTTCCAAAACATTTTTGAAAATGAATCCACGTGGTTTTTTTCAGAAAAAAAATTGGGCTAAATTTTGAAACTTACAGAAAATCCCTGCCACGTGGATTTTGAAATTTCAAAAAAAAAAGTTTTATTTAATTTTCAAATTTTCGAAAAAAAAAATAAAGCCACGTGGATTTTTTTCAGCTGATCTTCTAGAAAAATTTCATATTCAAAATTTAAAATTAAAGTTTTTTTCAGAAATTTTTGAGTTTAATTTTTTGTGTAAAATTGAGCCAAAATTTTTCAAATCACTGCCACGTGGATTTTTGAAATTTCAAAAAAACAAAGTTTTCAAAAATTCAAAAAAAAAATTCTGAACAAAAAAAATTTGCCACGTGGATTTTCGGACAAAAATCTAACAATCAAACTTTGAAAATTTGATTTTTGAAGATTTTAGGAATTTTTTTTGGAAGGTTTTTATTAAAAAAAATCAATTTCAAACTTTTTTTCAGAATTTCTGAAATTTCAAAAATTGTGCCAAAATTTAGAATTTCGAGCGCCTTTGGCGCGAGTGTAGATCAAAAATCCGCGCAAGCGGTTCGAGCGAAGCGAGTGTATGTCCCTTTAAATTACTGTAGGCACATTTAAAGGGACCTACAGTATCCCAAAGCTTTGATTTACACTCGCGCCAGGTACTGTATGTTCCTTTAAAACTCGAGCCGGGCGAGTGTAGCAGATAACTTGAGGTTACAGTATTTTAAAGGAGCATACAGTATCCCGAGCGCCTTTGGCGCGAGTGTAGATCAAAATCCGCGTAAGCGGTTCGAGCGAAGCGAGTGTATGTCCCTTTAAATTACTGTAGGCACATTTAAAGGGACCTACAGTATCCCAAAGCTACGCTGAATTTTGATCTACACCCGCGCCAAAGGCGCTCGGTATACTGTATGTTCCTTTGAAGCTCGAGCCGGGCGAGTGTAGCAGATAACTTGAGGTTACAGTATTTTAAAGGAGCATACAGTATCCCGAGCGCCTTTGGCGCGAGTGTAGATCAAAAATCCGCGTAAGCGGTTCGAGCGAAGCGAGTGTATGTCCCTTTAAATTACAGTATCCCGAGCGCACAATTTTCCGCGAGGCCGCTGCGCGGAAGATAGTGCCGCTGACGCGGAAGCTTGCGGTCTAAACTCACCTCAAAATCGAGGCTGGCGTGATAAAAATGCCAGATCCAATAATATTTCCAATCACATACGACGTGGCGCCCAAAAATCCCATTTTATGTGTTTCGTCCATTTTTTTTCTGCAACCAAAAAATTTTTTTTTTTTTTTTTTTTTTTGAAAAAAAAAGAGCACAGAACATAATAAATTCAAGTAATTAATGAGAAGAGTTAGGCTAATTGAATTTTATCGATTTTTTTTCTTGTCCGAGAGAACTGCCACAGGGAAATTTTATATAAAAAATTTTGTAGATCAAGTAATTAGGCTAACTTTTATCGATTTTTCTGGGCTCCGGGAGAAGTACACAGAAAAATTTTTAAATTCAAATTTCTGGCGCCAAAAAATGTTTTTGTAGTCCGAGAGAACTACACAAAATTTTGCCTAATTTTTAAATTAATTAATTAATTATCGATTTTTCCTCTTCTCCTCGAGAACTACACAGAAAATCATGAAAAAGTCTCAAAAAAAAATATGAGGTTCATAAAGAAGTAGAAAAGAAGAGATGAAGCTCAACCGGAGATTTCGCAACGCGTCTGCGTCTCTTCAAATCGCCATACTCTCTCGTCTCACGGTGTGTAGTAATGTGATCACGAAAAAAAGCGAAAAAAAATCATAGATCCCAGGTTTTAGACACACAGGAAGTGCAATTTTTGAAGAAGAAAATGAAGATGAAAAAAATTGATTGAAATTGATGTACTTTTTTTTAATTTTGGGAAAGGACTACGGTAGATTTTTTGGGGTACTGTAGAATTTCAGAAAATGGTTCAAAATCAAAATTAGATCAGCTGAAATTTTTTTGCCACGTGGATTTTTTGGGGGGGTACTGTAGAAACGTGGAGAATTTCAGAAATTCACTGCCACGTCAAAATACTACTGTAGGCCCCTTGAAATGTGCCTACAGTAATTTAAAGGGACATACACTCGCTTCGCTCGAACCGCTTACGCGGGGAATTTTGATCTACACTCGCGCCAAAGGCGCTCGGGATACTGTATGTTCCTCGAGCTGGGCGAGTGTATGTATGCCCTTTAAATTACTGTAGCCTCAGGTTATCTGCTACACTCGCCCCGTTCGAGATTTAAAGGGACATACAGTATGCCGAGCGCCTTTGGCGCGAGTGTAGATCAAAATTCCCCGCGTAAGCGGTTCGAGCAAAGCGAGTGTATGTCCCTTTAAATTACTGTAGACACATTTAAAGGGGCCTACAGTATCCCAAAGCTACCAAAAGGACATAACCCCGTTCTCCTCTTGAAAACTTGTACAGTATTTTTGCCACGTGGATTTTCAGTTTAGAAATTTTGAATTTTTTTTTGGAATTTTTGTATTTTAAAATTTTGAAGCTTCAAAATTTTCCAAGAAATCAAAAAATTTCGAAAAAAAAAAAATTATTTTCCGAAAAAATAGTCATAATATTTACCCAACCTTGTGAGTTGGCGAGAAAAAAAACAACATTTGGCTCAAAAAAAATTGAGAGTGTCATGAGATCCAGAAATTGATGTTTGTTTATTTTTTCACGGAACTTTGTGAAAAAAAAAAAAAAAAAAATTTTTTTTTTTTTTTTTTTTTGGAATTTCAGGTTTTTCTAAAAATTGGGCTGAAATTTGGGCCGAAATTTAGTAGAATTCTGAGTTTTTGGGCTGAAATTCGGGCTTGAACTTGGGCCAAAACCCTTTAAAAAAGCTTCAACTTATCATAACTCAACTCAACTTTGCACACAGATTAAATAAAATCAAATAATTTCTCATCAATTAATAAAAAAAAAAGTGAGAAGATTTTCACTGTGCAAACACGCACCCGTAACAAAAAAAAACTATATATCAGAAAAAGACACGTAGGATTTTTTGCAAGTTGCGAAATTTGTGAAATGCACGTCCTCCTATGAAAAACGTTGAGAAATTGGATAACTTTGGGGGCTGAAAATCCTCCTAGGCCCAAAAAAAATTTTTTTAGATGAAGCCTGAGAGTTAGGCTTGGAAAATCCACGTGTTTTGAGTCTAAATAAGCCTAAGCCCATATTTTAGGCCAGGCCTAAGTTTTGGCCCGAAAATCCACGTGTTTTTGGATCTAAATAAGCCTAGGCCTAAATTCTGAACCCAGGAAAATTTAAAATTTTGATAAAAAATGGACCTAAGCCCGTAATTTAGATCAGGACATTCAAAACCTACGATTTTTTGAGTCCAAATAGGCCAAAAGCCCATATTCTAGGCTAAGCCTAAGTTGAGGGCTTGAAAATCTTAAATTTTAGAAGCCTAAGCCCATAGTTAAGCCTAAGCCTAAGTTTTGGCCCAAAAATCCACGTGTTTTTTGAATCTAGAAAATCACAAAATTAAATTGTGACCCAAAATTTGGTAATAAATTTTTTTCTTTCAAAAAAATCATGTAAAAATTTTCTGAATTTTGAAAAATTTTCAAATTTCTGAAATTTGGTGCCAAAAATCCATTTTTTTCAGTAAAAAAACGCGAAAAATTAAATTTATCGGCTCAAAAAAAAAGATTCCTCAAAAAAAGATGGATTATCTCCGGTTCGTATTATTTTTCAAAAAAAAAAAAACATGGAATTTTTTCGAAATCCGCTTAACTTGTCCTCCGAGAGAACTACACGGAATTGAATTGACAGGGATTAGAGAAGAATTTTATGTTAGAAGAAAATATAGTAGATCAAAAATTGGCGCGCGAAAAAAATTTAAAAAATCCACGTGGCAAGAAAAATGTCCGAGAGAACTACACGGAATTCAATAAAAAACTTGTCCGAGAGAAGTACAAAACATTTTTTTTTTGAAAAATCCAGAAAAAATTAATAAAGTGCAGCTGGGCGGTGGCCCAAAAATTGCTTTTTATAATAATATTATCAGTCAGCCCCGGGCAAAATTGAATTTCGGAGATCAGATTAAAAAATTTTCCAGCTTTTCCCTCTGAAAAGCTAGACGCGAATTTTAATAAGCACACAACACTCTCTCGCTTATTTTTCATTTTGGTTTTTTTCGTGAAATCGCGAAATTTCACGATTTTCACGATTTTCACCAAGAACAAAAAAATATGAGTTAGCCTATCTCGAGCCGGAAAAAAAATGAGAGAGAGAGAGGTCCCCAGGGACAAAAACAAGGAAAACGTGGCATTTTCGGTGACACGTGGCATTTTTTGGCGCTAAGAAATTTTGTGACACGTGGATTTGCCATTTTTGCAACAAAAAGCTCGAAATTTAGCATTTTTTGCAAAAAAAAACGAAAATCGTCGTGTTGTCTGGCGTCTCTCTAGCGCATTTCTATCTCTCATTTTCTCTGCTTCTCTCTCCTCGTCTCTTCTACACACAACACTCTCTCGTTCATTTTTTCAATTCGGTTTTTTTTCGTGAAATTAGGGGAATTTCAAGATTTTCATCGAGAACATCATATATGAGAGGATAGAGAAAGACAAGGCAAAGCTAGAAAATTGAAAATGGGACTGAAAAATTCAACATGGGGGAAAATAAGGCGAAAAACCTAGTTTTTTGAGGTTTGGAGAGACGTTTTTCAGGTTTTTATTTCAGAATTCCCTATTCCCGAAAATTTGCCTTCTTTTTGCAACAAAAAAAGCTCGAAATTTAGTTAAGTATGAACAATTTTAGGCTTTTTTTGTGAAAAAAACGAAAATCGTCGTGTTGTCTGACGTCTCTCTTACGAATTTCTATCTCTCATTTTCTCTGCTTCTCTCCCCTCGTCTCTTCTACACACAACACTCTCTCGCCTATTTTTCATTTTGGTTTTTTTTTTCGTGAAATAGCGGAATTTCACGATTTTCATCGAGAAAAAGGCAAAAAAAAATTGAAAATGAGCGAAAAAATGTCTGAAAATTTGGCACATTTCGGCAAAACTCGTTAGAAATTCATGAAATTTTGCTCTTTGAGCTTCTGAAATTCTCCACGTGGCATTTTTCTAGCTCGTCTCCGCGTAAAAGTGCAAAACATGACGTCATCCACCCTCACTATGTTTTTTTTTTTTTTTTTTTTTGAAAAAAAATCCCAGACACATTGATAAGTGGACTTCAAAACCACAAAGCGTGTGAAAAAAATGAATAGCATTGCTCAGATTAGAGAGCCAGAGACAATAGACAAAAAAAACAGAGAAAAAAGTGCTAAAAATTCGTGTGTGAGCCAAGCGAAGTGAAAAAAAACATGTGAAAAAAAATCGATGAGCTTCTCCTGCTCCTCGCATCTTTTTTCGTTGTTGGCTCAGTGCCAATTCGAAATTCTTGGAAGAAATTAGAGCATTTGATATAAGTTAGTGTAACTTTATGAAAATTAGAGAAATTTATACACAAATCTAACATAAATGAGCAAACTAGAGTATAGTTTGGAGCAAAATTCAATTATCATATTTGGCAAGATATTCGAGACACTCTTCGACGTCTTCTTTCGAGCCCAAAATGATTGGAGCACGTTCGTGGATCTGTAAGGAAAAATTTTAATTTGAAATGATTTTTTGTGGACACGTGGGAAAAATTTCACGTGGAACACGTATTTTTACGTTAAAAACACGTTTTTTATTTCGTAAATCACATTTTTCCACAAATTCCCCTCAAAACCCGTTACCTTAGTCGGTTTGATGTCCAAAATGCGTTGTTTTCCAGTTGTAGCCAAACCGCCAGCTTGTTCAATGATATAAGCCATTGGATTGCATTCGTAGAGAAGGCGAAGCTGCAAAAAAATGCCACGTGGCAATTAAAAAATGTGGCAGAGGAAAAGCTAGTCCCTCATAAATATGAATGTCGGTGTGTGCGCGCGGTCGCGATGCGGTCGAAATAAAATCAATAATTTTTTCAATTTTTCCCTTGAAAATGATCGTTTCTTGTGTAAAAAACAACATTTTCGAGGGAAAAATGAAAAAAAAATATTGTTTTTATTCCGACCGCATCGCGACCGCGCGCGCACACACCGACATTCATTAATACCTTTCCATTTGGCGCTGAAGCAGTTGGTGGATACAAAAAGATGCCACCATTCAAAATTGTTCGATGAACATCGGCCACCATTGATCCCACATATCGTTGTCCCATCACTTTTTTGCCGGCCGCCGGCTCTTTTCGAGTTCGAATATATTCGGCCATGCCTTTTGACCAGGTTTTGGCGTAGCCTTCGTTGAGCGAATAGATTGAACCTTTTGATTTGCATTTCATGTTTGGATGGGTTAGGATGAATTCGCCGATTGACTGGAAAATGTGAAAATTTCGGAAAATTTCAGAAAAAACATCATTTTGTCAGTCGCGTGCGGCGCTGCGTCGCGGTCGGGAAACCGCGACGCAGAGCCGCACGCGACTGACTGTCTGCGCTCTCTCATCTTTTCGCTGTCTCTAATCGGTACCACGCGCTCCACCGAAATGAACACGCAACGCAGACCGCGCCGCGCCACAACACACACCTTTTTTGTGTGTGACGTGGCGCGACGCGGTTTGCGTTGCGTGTTTATTTCGGTGGAGCGCGTCACTAACTGGATCCAAAGTGAAGCCATTCACACCATCGCCAGTTGACAAAACGACCATAGTAGCCGAACCGTACAACGCATATCCGGCCGCCACCATTTCACTTCCCGGTCTCAAAACATCATCAACAGTAGCCGGACCATTATCCCGCTTCTTATAAATCCCGAAAATCGTTCCGATCGACACCAAACAATCGATATTCGAACTTCCATCCAGCGGATCGAAAGTCACAATGTATTTTCCGCGTTTCTTCTCCTCGACTTCGATCAATTCGTCGTTTTCTTCGGAGACGAGAAGACATGTTGTGTAGCTGCTTTTGAGCATGTTAATCATCAGCTCATTCGAGAGAACGTCGAGTTTTTTGACTTCTTCGCCTTGAACATTTGTTGAGCCGGCGATTCCGTATCTGCAAAATTGCATTTTTTTGTTTTTTGGGCGAAAAGCAAATTTTCTGACTTCTGGACCTTTCTTTGTTCAATTCTGATAGTAAAAACCCAGGTTTTCCCTGAAATTCGGGTTCAAACCTTAAAAAAACAAAAAAAAACAATTTTTCAAACAATTTTCTACAGTAGTTTGTTCCCTCGTTGTTCGCCGTGACGAGACCCAAAGTGTTGCGCATATGCGCCTTTGAGATAATACGGTATTTATTTTTTTTTTTTGAAAATTTTCTTTTTTTGACGATCCTGATATAAAAAAGCATGATTTTGAACTCACAACTTAGCCAATCCCGCTTTTTGTGTTGCAGATGCGATAGCCTTAATCGCCACCAACATCGACGTCAACAAACTCGTCAATTCTCCACTTGCATCCGCGTGTTTTCGCTGTTCATGCAAAACGAATCGTTGCAAAGTCATCGAATCGGTTTCGATTCCGAATTGCGAATGCGATGATTCGTCGGCCATTTTTGGGGATTTTGTCTGTGAAAATTGTGAGTTTTTAGAGATTTTCACAAGTTTGCCACGTCATAGCACGATTTCTCTTGTACTTTGAACTCTAAAGCTTGCAATATTTAATTTTGACAAAATTTCGCGCGAAATAGATTTTTTGAAATCAAACAAACAAAAAAAGAAGAAGAACCTTTGGCAGACATAAAAATTATAAAAAAAATCGAAGGACGGTTTTCTCGCTGGCGAGAGAGTGTTTTTAAATGAGAGAGACGCCAGAGAAATTTGATGATGGTCGGGGGCACGTAAACAAAACAGAGTACGATGATACCAGAAAAAAGGGGAATGATTTTTTGTATTTTGTGTGTTTTTTGGCGGATAGATCAAAGAAACATTCATTTTTTGAGAGAGAGGAGAGCAAAAATTGGGGGAAATTTGAATTTTCAAAGGAGAAAAATGTTTTTTTAACATCAAAAATCGAAAAAACATTAATTTTTCGAGTTTTTCAGCCAAAAATGATGAGAAATAGAGATTTTTGAAGTGATTTTTGATAAAAAAATAAGATTCGGGGTCAATTTTCATCAAAAATCACTTGAGAAGCTTCAAAAATCTCGATTTTTCATCATTTTTTGCTAAAAAAACTCGGAAAACTTCCGATTTGCCACGTGGAATTCTAGATTTTTTCCAACTCACCAAACATCCGATCGAATTCCTCGGCGACCAAAAAAGAAGTCTCCAACTCGATTTTCTTCTCGACTCCTCCATATTCTTTCCAAATGTTGTTTTGGACGATTATTTTTGGAATTTTCCTTGGTTTTATTGATTTCAGACATGAGAATTTTGATTTTTTTTTGAAGAAATCAAAAAATCCACGTGGAAAACGCTGATTTTTTGAGGCTTTGAACGTTTAAACACAAAAATCTTCTCACAATGAATAGTATAAAAATGAGCGACTAGAAAATCGTTTCATCACATCAAGAACTAGAAAAATGTTCAAGATGATTCTGGCTTTTCTTCTGATTCTAGTTTCCACCATTTTTGCGTGGTCCGAAATGAATCCACCCGGAAAACGTTGTGGTTTTGTGGATTTTTTTAAGCTTGACTGGAGAATTTGTTCCGGATGGGAAACTTGTCAAAATGGATATTGTGAATGATGTTAAGAATAAAGTTTTGCTGCATTCAAGAGATTTTTGTAATCTTGAAAAAATTTCAAAGTTAGGATAACTTGGCCGCTGCGCGGAAGCTTGCGGACTACACTCGAATAAAGGGAAGCTTCCGCGTAAGAAGCTAAGTTACCCTAACTTTTTAGAAGTTAGGGTAACTTTACCGCTGCGCAGAAGATAGTGCCGCTTACGCGGAAGCTTGCGGTCTACACTCGCTTCGCTCGAAGCTTCCGCGTAAGAGGCCAAGTTACCCTAACTTTTTAGAAGTTAGGGTAACTTGGCCGCTTCGCGGAAGCTTCGCCTTTGTTTCTCTACCCACTTTGTTGGACCAGGTTAGAGACGCAGAGAATATTGGATTTGTTTATTATAATTATTCAAAAATCATCCGCTCTACCGAAATAAACACGCAACGCAGACCGCGCCGCGCCAGAAGGTGTACATTTTTGGATTTCTGAACTTCTGAACTCTCTCTCTCCGAGTTTCCCTGGTTTTATTATGTTCTCCAGGCGGATTTCTGAACATTTGAAATTCTCACATTATAAAAATAGGCTGTCGAAACACAAGTCCAAAACAAAAAAATGTCCAAAATTTTTTCGATTCTTCTATTTTTCATCGGCATTATTTCGGTTTTCGGGACCCAAGATACAAATATTTGTTATTCTGATAGAGGATGTGTAGGCAAATTAACTTGTGTGTATGGAAAATGTCAATAATTCCAGTCAATTTCTCTTTTCATGGAGAAAAATGGGATTTGAATGAACTTTTTCAAAAAAAAATTGCAAAAAAATAAAAAGAAAACAACGAGACTCCGCGTTGACGGCCACGCGCGTTTGTGTTTTTTGCCCATTTTTTCAAACAAAAATTGTGTTTTTTCAATAAATTTTTATTCAAATGTAGAAAAAACTTCATTTTTTATCATTTTTTGAGATCATAAATTAATTTTCCGAGATTTTTTTTGTTGAAAAACGATTGAAGAATGCGAAAAGCACGGGAAGTAGAATCAACGAGTGTAAAACCACCAAAACCATACAAATTATCATGACTTTTGCGAAAGCCTGCAAAAAATTTTCAAATATTTTCTTTTCCCGCCTCGCAATCTTACATTGCTCATATAAATCGCGGTGAATTTCAGTGCCAGCACACAAAGTGACGTGGAAAATGAGGCTTGAAGGGCTGGAAATCCGACACTTGATAGAGTTTCGTGAAGTCGCGCGTGGATTTCGTGAGATGTTGCACAATGATAATGATATGAGATGTGAGCGGGAATATCGACGGAGAAACCGATTGAGATGATTAATGCAGACATGACGATTGGGTCGAGATCTGTGCCGGTTAAGGAGAGAAGACCGAGGATTCCTGGAAGAAGTTTTGAGGGAGGTTAGTTTATTTTGGGGTGGGGGCCTAACCTGTCATAACACTAGCAATAATAACCGTAGCCACCGTAACTGTCGGAACATCATACATAAAAATGAAACAAACTAGAGCCATACATGCCAACGTGGCAAGGGCGGATTGCCACGCGTCAGTTGGCATATTTTCGATCAAATCCACGTAGATTCCATCGTCGGAATAGACTGAGAGACCAAAGTCGCTGAAAATTTGGGATTTCCGGATTTTGAGCACTCTGACACAGGTGGAGGGAATTTGGCCAACTGTTGGTTGGCCAAAAATTTCAATTTTTTTTTTCTTTCAATTGTGGTGCCTTCTAGAGATGCATCTATCCATTACACAATTGCAAATCACTATAATTTTTTAACGATGTTCGAACCGATGAAAATTTATTACCAAATCAAAAAAGAACAGTTAGAAGAACTTGATTATTATGGTAGACGCATCTTGTCGACCATCATCGTTGGATTCTCGGGGAAGTTGTCAGATTCTGTCTTTTCGGAGCCTCTTGTGTCTGGTGAGTCGAAGTTTCTTGGTGTGTAGATCTGCTGGTGACTACCTTGAAGTCGTGACCCTTGGTGTCGATAATTCCATCTTGAGAAGAGACGGTGTCAGATAAGCTTTGCTTCTCATTGTCAAGGTGCTCACGAGTTCAGTCGACCTTTTGGGCGACAGTTTCTCCGTTGATCGAATGAGTCTTCTTTTGACAACGGTTGACGACCTTCATCTGAAAATAAAGAAACATCAAAATCCGACTTTTTCATTTAAGATAACAAACCTAAGAGTTGTCCTTTTTGAAGTTGGATTCTGAGTTTCTGTCCATCTACATCTTACCATTTCTTGATGCACCTGGTGAAAACCTTCTTCTTGGGGGAAGCTCTGAAAAGTCATATTATGATTCCAGAACAGTAGCAAATGAGAAATTCAAGAGAAATTAGGTCTAGGGCATTTCAATATTTAACTCTGATAAGGAATTTTCCATTTAAACTCATGCAAAAAATGTTGGTGTAATTGAATCAAACATTGAAAAACTCGAAATTTTCCATTTTTTGGCCTAAAATCATGTTCAATGTGTGAATTTCCAAGTTCTAATGACATTTGTTGCTTGATCCTGGATGGGGAACATGTTTTACATATTTCTCGCAGCTTCAAACAATTAATTTTTAAACAAAACGAGGAACACACAAAAAAAAAAAAAAAAGAAAAAAAATTTGTGGCGTGCATTTCGTCCGAGAGAAGTACACACACACATTTCGCTGCAGGACCATTTTATTCAAATGTCTGCGCCTTTAATGTTTAACAGTTTAAAATCATTTTGGTGGAAAATGGTAAACACCATTCGACGCAGAATTCCAAGCTGAACAAAATGGTTATAAATTCGCCTTGTTTTTCGACTGATTTTCAACTTTTCGGTTTCTACGGAATTTGATGTCTCAAACTTTGAACTCACGGATATTGATCCACAACTTTTCTCCACCTTCCCAAAGCTTCTCCTCTAGCATTCCATGATCTCAAATCCTCTCCATACACCGCAAAAGTCATCCAAAATCTATCCAACTTGATTTCTTCACTATGATTGTGGTATTGAACAAATCCGGCCCAGAACGTATATTCAGGCCAGCCTAGAAACATCGGAAGATTCTGCATATCCAGACCCTCCGATTCCACTCCAGTCTCTTCCTGAAGTGAATTTTGGAACTCGATCATATCTCGAATAAAATAATTGGTTCCCTGAGGTCCCCAACTTCCTCGAACTTTTTCCATTTCTTCGACGAATTTGTTGAGTTTGGCCAATCTTTTGGGATCGGATAGATTTCCGGGTTTTGTCACAAAAACATTGGCCAAAAAAGAAATGTGGCACAATGTGATTTACACGAAGTTCGTCCATTTCGATGAGCGGCGAACCTTCTTCGAACAATTTTTTGGGCGATAAATTGATGTTCATTATGGTGATACCATAAATACAAATCGCCAAAAATCCGGCCCACAAAGTTAGCACAAATAGTTGGAATAGTAGATTTGTCAGAATTGACAAATAGCCTTCGAGAAATTTGGCAACTTTTTGTTTGACATTTTCGTTGAAGCTGTTGACGGTCTAGAAAATTTTTTGGATTTTTGAGCTCGGCTGAGAAGCTTTGTTAAAAATTTGATATGTTTTGGGTTTAATTTTAATATTACATTTTTTTAAATTAAATTATCGAATCAAATTTTTTGTGAAATTGCCCTAAAATTAACCTAAAATAAAAAAAAATACCGTAACTATAGTTTAGGAAGATTTTTAAATTATAAAAAAATATTGAAGACTTTTTTGACTAAAAATCGAATTTTTTGAAAACCCGGGAATTATAGGTTTCACCCACTTTACATTTATCTGATCAATTTATTTTTTCAATATTGAAGTCCCTTACAATAAGTTAGATTTTGTTAAAGTTCAGGCCTGTGCCGGAAAATCTGGAAAATTTTTCA